TGGAACTAATGCAAATTTATATAGGTACACGTGAGACGGAATGGTTTTAGTTAACTAGAGTTTGAGTTGGGAAATTGCATATATCTGCGTAGCAGATCTCGAAATAGGAATCCGCTAATTACAGTGGATAATCGATTCTTATAGCGTTTCGTTTATTTCTTTAATCATCGTGATTTGTTTACAAGATTCAGTATATAGTTTATAAATTTGTAACAAAATGTATCCGGATATTTTTCTGTTCATTATTCATAATTCAAAAAGCTCACTGATTAATGCAATATTTTAAAAATTCTTAGAAATAAATAACCGTCATAGCTAAGGTAATTTGTTTTAATGAGATTGTTACTTATTATAATGACCACAAATTATCCATAATAAATACAACATTTGTGCATTTCAGATGTTTTTAGGTTTTTTTTAACCAAAAGAATATAAATGAACTAATTAATTTTCAAATAAAATAGGCATTAAATTTACAAAACACAGCGTGTGCGAATTTCATGCAATCTCAATTTATTTAATACTATTTTAGGTACTTACATACTTACATCTTCCTAACAAAACAATGAATTCAAATGACTAGCTATTTAGATAAATGTTGAAGATTAATATGGAAATAAAACTTGTAAATAAAGAGCTCTTAAGAAAATTAAACATACGTATGTATGTACCTATAAGTGCGTGGCGCGTCGATTAATAAAAAATACGTTTTACTGATAATGTTAAATGTTAAAGTGCAAAGTAAACTCAGATGATAAATTACAATTGATTTTTTTATCTGATAATTTGGCTACATGTGCATTTCATGAATTTATTTTTATAAATGAATTATTATGTGAATAAACATTCAAGAACAATGGATCAACTTATATTCAGATATTAAGTTATGTATTCTTTTTTTTAAGCTGGCTTTTTCAATTATACTATTGTGATTATAAAAATTTTAATCAAATTGTAAAATTTTCAATTACCTTGAATTTTTGTTATTTAAAATAGCTATTTACATGGTAACATCTGGTTGTATTTCTAATTGCCCAGTTAATTTTTAACTCAAATACATGGTTTTCTAATCTGCTTCAAATCCAATACGAAAATATATCTAATCCTGCTCAATTTATCTCTTTCAATATTTGCCAATGTGCGTTAAAAAAGTGTGGGAAATTCAAATAAACGAGTTGTTTAAAGATTTATAAATAGACCGTTATTAAAAATGTTGCCAATCAAAAAGTTATATTTATTGAAATATTTGAATATAGCTACTTAGAAGTTAAATAAATTTGAAAATAAAAGAAGTATACATATGTAGGTCTATAGGGTTGAGTTTTAGAGACCTGCTTTGATTTATAAATATATTGCTGATAAGAACGTTAATGAAAAGTAGGTATACTCTTGTTACTTATTTTTAAGATAGTGAAACGGTTTAATTTAATTTCGATTAAACCGTTGATTTTTCTAGCGGATTCTATTATGTAATTGTTTTACTGCAATTGAGGTCAATGGGTTTTTTTAATATAGGTCAGATAACGTAAATCTGATCGATAAGATAGTTTACAAATTATTATTTTTTGAAAATATTCATCTAAAAAATAAATGCGGAACAGTGAAAATACAAATTTTTAGATTGATTATTTAAAATCGGAACTATTCTCAGCAATTTTTCATTCAAATCTGGGTGATAAAATTGGTATCCAACCACGAAAGTAGAAGGTGTGGAAAGAATTTGTAATAATTATTATATTAAATAAATCTAATAGGTATTCTCTAAATCAAAATTAAATTGTGACGATTTTTACCGCAATAATCGCTCAAGGGCTCATTAATAAAATTTGAAGCTCGTATGCTTTTTGTGGACTAAACTTTTAGGTTTTCTCGAAGCGTTTTCTCGAAGTGTTCAGTCAGATTTTCTACTTCCTGATACCTGTACATCAGGCACCGCTGTAGGTATAATTATCTATCTATAAATGTAAATAAAATCAATATCATTGAGAATGCCAATTCCTGTATTCCGTCAAATCGATTGTTTGGATAAAAAGATAAATTGCACTATTTTTTGGGTCGTTTTCCGACCGTTTTTTTGGCAGAAACCTTGACAAAAATGTTCGGCAACTGCGCTCCTCTCCTCAATGCAGCGCTCGCTAGAATTCCACTTTCAATTCCACAATCAGACAATCGAACGCGAAATTCGCCGATAGCAGCAAGCAGGGCCTGCCTGCTGCGTGTTGTAGTGCGTGTGTGCGCGGATGTGTATTGCATTTCGGATATAGTGTTGTAGAGGTAGTGCGTAAAGTGTTCAGGTTTCCTTAGAAATTCGCTTCCTAACGTTTCGGCAGTCATGTTGTAGGTGCCAGTTTCCGTCGGATTTTCATGTTACCGCTGCGCGAAACGGATTTCACGGGCTGACGTGAGTTCCTTTTCCATTTAAAATGCATAAAAATTGAATTTAAGGTTATACGCATAGAGTTGTGTGCGTTGCGCATGGCATGGCCTTTAACATCAAGGCCGATTCAAGTGCGTAAGTTTGATATTTCGACAGGACCGGACCGGCTTATACTACACTACAACATTTATTATTACTACGTTATATTATTTCAAAAATTATATTTCAATTATTGTTGTAATAAAAATTTGATTTCTTTAACTGTCGTCTAGTTAGCAATGAAGATGACAACAATTTAGGGACAACTGTCAATTATGATTTGACGTTGACGTTTATATAAATTTTGATTTTCATAGTGCAGGTATTTTTTATTAAAAAATATTATAACTATTAAATATTGCAATATTACAGATTACTGATTTTCTTAAAATTTCTTACTGAAAAATGGTTATTATGTATATTTAGCTTTTATATAATTTTAGTTAACTATGGAATTGACACTATTGACAGTTCTTGTGGACAATGTTCTCTGTCAATAGTGGCCATTTAGTAATTAATAACATTTTCATTTATTGATTATTTCAATAAAATCTAAAATGTTTCGTAAAATAGAAATTACATAATTATTTGAGAATTCTAACACTATAAGTGACCCACCCTTAATATTTTAACATATTTTTACACTTTACATGCCACAAATTTATCAAAGGAACTATTCTCATGATACTTTGGGATACCTTACACATCTCATGATGGGTTCTTATGCAAGGAATATGTTTTCTCATTAATAATAAAATTCTCTATTCATTGGTAGACAGTCTGACAGCACCTGCAGGTACGGATTTTTACATTTGTATGTCGTTGACAAAATATAATATTCTACTTGTATTTGTACCATATAATTTTTATACCTTTTTGCTCGTATTGTAAACTGACACCTCGTGACACAACAACTTATTACTTCTATTAACAATTTAGTAATTGACATAAACAAATAAATAAAAACGTAAACAAATTTAAGCTTTAACATACATTTTGTAAGTAGGTAATTTACAGTACTAATTTTGCGTTAGAAAGGAGGTAAATTCATAAGATCCTCCTCATCCGTGATTAATAAAAAGTTATAAATTAAAAATAAAAAGAACTGCCAAAAAAACGTATTAACCGTGATTAAAAAATAACGCTTAATTAGAAAGTAAAAGTATTTTTTAAATCTAACTGGCACGAAATTTCTTTATACAAGACCATCAAAATAGGTACTAATTACGGCCGCAAGATCGGCTATATTTCATAAGAGAAACACACTCACACACACACACACATCTGCATCAGTCTTTCGTAATCACCTATACCTATTGCACCTTTTGGCTGGGTTCGAACGTTTCAACACAGACAACGAAATTTATTGAAGTTCTCTATTAGATAGCATAAATTTGTGACGTAGCTGACACGCGTACTATTTTCTCGCGTGAAAAAAAATTTCACCTGGCCCAACGTTGTTACCAGATATTATTTAAATTATGGAAATGATATTTAAATAGCTAAACTTATTAGGAGATTCGTATCGATCGGGCGGAAATGTTTAAAATGTTACCTATGCCTTTCCTCTTGCGAATTATTTATCAACGAAAAAATAGTCAAGGTCTTAACAGTACGAGTTGAATTTCTTGTTACTTTCTATGTCATACGGAAAGTTCGATTAGCTAATTTGCGAGAATTTCTGGTCAAGTTATCAGTATAGTTTTGAGCATTTTTGTGATTTTATTTTCATTATTACTTAACATCTACGCGAAGGTTAAATCGCTATTTTTCAATATTGAACAAATTGCAAATTAGCTAAAAATAAATCATTTTAAAACAGTCGGCAAATATGCATTTAAGCAAATATATTTTACCTTGAATTATTCAAGTATTGCCCAATGTTGTCTCGGTGGTTTATTTGCCATGTAATTTTCGTTAAATTGAATCTTGATCGACTTCCTTGACAATGAAGTCGGTTTCATGTTTATTGTAAATTATATAAAATTAATTAAGTTAGTGTGAATAAAAATCTCTTTTATTGACAATAATAATGAGTTCCAAATTGAAAATACCCCCCCTATAATTATTTAATGAATTTAAGATTTAATGCTTTGGTAAATTCTACAATGCAAAAAAAACTACAGTACATTTTTGGATTCTTTCTTTCTAAAGTATTACCTGCAATATTTCTCCTGTTCATCTCTTACCAAGATTTCTGAGCATTTTACGAACATTTAAGAGATTTGAAATCTTGTTTGTGTATTTAAATGTTTCGAACATTGACTAACCACTCTCCTATATAGTTGTCACAGAATTCCGACACAACCCTCTGCAAGAAATCCAATATTGCAAGGTTCAATAACCTTCCCCTGTGCGCACTTTGGGGATGCTGATGCGTATGCACTCAGTTGTTGCAAAATAGAACGGGAAACGGTGCATTCGGTCAGTGGCAGAAGTTTTAGGGGGAATTTATTGATCGATTCTAAACTTTAAATTAGATATCTATAGAAATGCGTGGTTATCTGGGGAGAATAGAGTTGTTTTATTCAGTTTCATTTCAGTGAAGTAACGACAATTTGTTAAATAATGGGAAATTTTTTGTTGCAGCTCATAATTTTTTTCAATCTGGCGTTGAGATGGACTCACAGCAACAGCAGTTTTGTCTAAAATGGAACAGTTTCGGATCGAATTTAGCCACTTCGTTTAGTAATTTATTCAAGTCGGAAACTTTGGCGGATGTGACACTATTCTGTGATGGTAAGTTAATTTTTATTGACTTGAAAATGTTCACGGGGTATAATAAATATGTGTATACGTCCTGTATGACTGGTACTTGGTCATTCGAATTCGATGTGTGCTTGAAAAGAATTATTTTAAAATATCTTAACTGAATTCGTTCTACCTACTCAATAAATAACAAAATCCTTGAATTTAGGCAGGAACCCAAAACACATTGATAACTGTTTTGCGATAAGAACCTCAAATTTCAATATAACCCATTAATGTGTTGTGTAATTTTCGAATAACGTGTAGTTTGTTTCCGCATTTAACGAATAAATATGATATTGCATTTCATTATAACGAAAAACATAAAAAAATATTTGATCAACAAACCTTGTACATATTTCTACTTTTTTACAATTCTTATTCGAAAAATCGTTACAATCAACATCTAAATCCACCCAATTTCAAAATCTATTTGTTTTTCTTTTCCGCCGTCTCTGATAAGTTCCATACAATCCTCATTGAATTTATCTGTTCTAACTCAGCTCGGCTGAACGTTTTTATTTTTATTATGCACTTGACCTACTGGCACACTTTTCGTCTAACTATGCATTTTGTTTTGGTATCTGGAAATAGATATTACCCGTCTTGTGCAATATATGCTCACTCTGTTTGAAGACTTCATTAAATTATGTCAACAATCGGCCTCAGAGACGCACTTTCTTAAATCGTTTATAATGGATTTAATTGACACGTTTAAAATGATTTGATAAATAGAAAAATTTTCTTTGTTATGTTCATGTTACTGAGTATTTTACTGGTTTTATTAGGTTAATTTCGTTAAAAATTATCGGTGTAGAAAACGTGAGTACGTCCCTGTTTAGTCTTAGGTAATAATAATGGTTACTGTATATTTTTATGTGTATTTATTAATTGAGTAATTCAGCTTCTTTTAAGCCAATGATTAAGTTTATTCTTAAAATTCTGATTAAAATTTTTAAACTAATTGAGGACATTGTAGATTTATAAGGAACACTTAAAATATACAGGGCGTTTTGATAATAAAACGACCTTTTACATGTAAAAGATCTATACATTGGATTTTCTTGGATGAGATTTTGTTTTGCGATACCATTTGAATCCGTTGCTGATTTATTGTGCACAAAAATAAATAACCTAAATTTTCGAAACACCCTGTGTATCTATTCGTTACGGACGATGTACGATTTGGTTTATTTATGAACCGGTCGTTCTTGATTCTGAAGTGCGAATCCGAAAATCGACGATAAAAACACCTACAATGTGATGAATGCGTTAACTCGAAATCAATGTAAATCAAATTCAAGGAGCAAACGTATTCAAGTGAATAAAAGATTTCGGTAACATGATTGTTTTTAGGAATATATTAAAACCAAGTACCTCGTAAATTTGTTTGTTTTCGGAATGAACTTGTTCACGTTATTAGCGAAGTTTTCGAGGAGCGCATTTATATGCTTCCATAGACAAATTGAAACCTGAATTGAAAGTCATAAGATTATGATGATGTCAAACAAAGATCATGGATAATTATTTATTTATTACAATATAATCATCTTCAAAATTAAAATACATGAGGTATACATGAGATATTAAGACGTACATAACGAAAATTCCTAAAATACGGACCTGGTCTTTACCGATTCGTTCTATTTGTTACGACAGTTGGATGCAATTTTTACCTTCCTATTTCTTGTTTACTTGGTTATTTAAATTTTAAAAACACGTCTGGTGCCAATAAATCTCTCGAACAATCGAATACGCATCTAATTCACTTCAATTTCTCTTTGCAGGAGTAACATTTAAAGCTCACAAACTAATCTTAGCAGCCTGCAGCAAGCACTTGGCCGATCTCTTCGAGACGGCGCCCTTGCACCAAAACCTCCTCGTCATACTGGACAACACGTCGGCGACCAACATGTCCGCCCTCTTGGAGTTCATGTACAAAGGCGAGGTGCACGTGTCCCAGGACTCGCTGTCCAGCTTTCTCAAAGCGGCCGAGTGCTTGCAAGTCAAAGGCTTGAGCATCGAGCACGAGAAGCTCGCTGTTGCGCAGAGTCATAAGATAACCGCCATGGACACCGGAAACGAGTCACCAGGAAGACACTCTAAGGTAAGTTCTGTCACCATTGCATTCGTAGCGAGTGATTAGTAATTGAGTATTCGTTTAGTCAAAAGATGAAATCGACACACCAGTATCGAACACTCCGCACCACCAATCCAGCCCGTCCCCGACTTATTCTCCCACCATGTCGCCGTACATGCATCCGCATCACTATAGGCCGTACGAAACGGTCTCGTACGAGAACGCCATGAAGCGACCTCAGCGCAGCCCGAGCGAGCTCAAGCAGGAAGCCGCCAACAGGGTGTCCGTTCTGCGGGACGGATCTAAAGCCGTAGGCAGACCGGGATCCCCGGGACAGCTGTGCGCTTACAGGCCGTCGTCTTCTCTGTCGAATATACCAAGCCAGCCGGGAGGCGACAGCCCTCCCGAGAGTAAATTCTACCCGGATCCTGCCACCGCGTTGATATGTCCAGAAAGCAATACCGTAGATAGGTTTCAGGATCCGGGTTGTCCTGAAGGTACGATTCGACCAACTTAATCGTAGGAATTTTTACTAACAACGAACGTTTGTGCGTAGATTTACGAAAGAAGATGGAACCTGCGATACAACAAGACGAATCCCCGAGCAGTACGGCAGGAAACGGAACCGGCAACAATGGCAACGTGCTCAATAACTCCGTATCTGCCAACGGCTCTATTGGATCTCAAACGAACTACAACCATGACAGGGATAAGGATCTTATAAACGCCAATATATGGAGCACGGTCGCTGGGAAAATCAACTGCAAGGGTGGGACAGTTAACACTGCAGACGGTATGATTTTCACATTACCACATCAAAAATTATTATCGTTCATTAGGTTAATGGTCACCATAAAATTTGTAAAAAATCTTTAATGAACTTGAAAGAATCGTTGAAAAATCCTGCAAAAATCTGTTTGGTAAATGTAGCTTAAATTATATTAATCTTAGGAGTTCTGCAAAATACTTCTGGAGTCGGTTTAATAGGATGTTTTGGTTTGCAGGAAAGAAATTAAAGTGCCCTTTCTGCGAGAGATTGTACGGTTACGAGACCAATCTGAGGGCGCACATTCGACAGAGGCATCAAGGCATAAGGGTGCCTTGTCCATTTTGCTCGCGAACGTTTACACGTAACAATACGGTCAGGAGACACATAGCAAGAGAACACAAAGCGGAGCTGAGTTTGAAGGCTTACCAGCAGAACCAGCAACAGCAGCAACAGCAGCAGCAGCAGCAGCAGCAGCCGCAGCATTAAATCGCCGAGCGATTGCCCTTTCGGTGTCAGATCTGGTGTAAAATGTTTTGGGTAGCCGATCGAGCAGGTGCTTGTAGCTGCTGCTGTAACTGTGTCGTACATGAGTAGGTACTTTCCGTAAATTTTAAGGGAATTTCAGGGTAACAGAATTCAGCTCGTAATTAGGAGTTTTGCCGATTCGTTCGATACGAATTGATTTATTGGTGTAAAGTGTGTTTGAGAAACAAATATAATCCGAATTATTAAATAAGTACGATTTAAAATTAACTCGCTTTCTCTAGATTTGCTAGTTATTTAGTGATAGAATAGTCTTACGCAGTTTGAATGGTACGGAATTCCGCTTGTCACAAATGTTTTGCAGTTTTCAAAACTTACAGTGCGGCAGGAATATCTGTTGACATGACATGCGCGTTATATTATTGCGCATCGTACTTTTTCGTCTACAGCTATTCCTGTCGCACTGAAATTGTTTATTATTTCATTTTGATTTGTAAAGGGCGTAAAACTAGTTTAAAAAATATTTGATTGTTTCAAGAAAATTCGTGAATATTTTTTTCCACCTTTGATTGATTTACTGTTATTCTGAAATTCTTGTCAACCTATGGATGTATGTATCGTGTCATTTTTAAATTAAGGAAGTAAAATTTATGCGAAACGGTAGAAACAACAAAACTTCGTTGTTACCTTCGAGATAAAAAAATAAAGAGGAAACTACGTGCAACGCTAATTTAAAGGATGTGTTCAAACTTGTTATATCTCTTCTTTCACTGTAAATATGTTGCCGTTTCAAGAATTTTTATTTTGTTATTTTTTATTGTAAATTTTTTTTGTTGTACTTATTATATCATTTAGATACGGTTATTTTTCGAAGTTACCGAATGAACAAACCGAAGGAGAAATTATTTATTACACGATTATTTTGTTCATTTCGTAATTTAAAATTTATTTAGTACGTTTAAGTGAAGGAGAATTGCAGTAACTGCAAGATGAATAGCCCGCGGTGGCTAAAAACTACCTACCTCATAATGTAACTCTGCCTCAGGATTTTTAAACTATACATAGTATTTGCTAGTCATTAGTGCAAAACAATGAAGATAGGTTAAGTTTTCTATTTTAAACTCAGGTGAATGGAAAGTCTATGAGAATTTATTCTTTTGTTCTAATTCTTAGTGTTACCTTGCTTTTACAGCAAACAAATTAGCTCAGGATATGATCCAAAGTATATGTTGTATTTTTATTTTTTTGCACGTTTGGTATTACTTAATCTTTTTAATATTATTCCAATAAATTGGTTATACTTTATCAATAACAAATTGTGCGATTCGTTGTGTAGTGTTTACCATTACCTTTTGGGAACGAACCATTTTCGACAAATCCACAAATTAAAAAGATTAATGTTATATCTTTTGTGTAATTGATTTTCTTTAGCTCAAATGTATTTGTTATATTCAGCATGTGATGTTGAATGATTACAAATTAGAACAGGCAATTTATTTTTTTTGAGGTTACACTTATTTAAGTTCCATATCAATATGCAAAACTGGTTAGCCAAATACGATATTAATTTTAAATGCATACTAGTCAATAATAATGAAATAGTTAAAATCATAACACGAACTACCTCACGAACTACCTCAAAATGCAGTATTTTATACTACATAAAATATATTACGGGTTTATACATGTAAAAATAACAATACAGATAATCTACCTCATATTAAACATGACATTAATTTATTTTTTATAGTTAAGAATTCAATCAATTTGTTGAATATATTACATGTTACATTAAGTAATAGACACAAAAAGTACAAAACTGGTATATAGCCATTAAAATGCAATATTTTTGTAACTTTTACTACACACAATCTTATGCTTCGCTCAGATAATTCAGTAAAACAAATTGATCTAGGCTAGTTTTATTGTTTTTGAACAATATTGAAGAATATTGTTTTAGTTTTTTTTATTTTCAATGCAATTATAGGATATACGTATTTTTTTGGGTTTATCAAGAACACTCTTCAGATTATACCATTTTATAAAAGCTAATAGATTAATTTGTTTTTTGATATCACAACACTGCCATTACATCAAACTTACTGTTGCTAAATATTCCTTACATAAATTCCAATATTTTTCTGATGTGAACATAAGTTTTCCTATTACAATAATCATCAAATGATCGAAACGTACAAAAAATGGGATTTATTACATAAATATCTTGTTTTAATATTCGAAATACAACAGCGAATTATCAATAAAAATGGGAATATGTTTATGAACTATATTTAAAAAAATTAAAAATTAGTTACTTAATATTTAAAGGTAAATATTTCACATATATTATTCGTACTACACAAGGTGCAAATATTGGGAAATGGGTGAAAAAAAATAAAAAGCCCTTCTTTAGGGGAGATTTTTCTTATTTGTGCCTTCCAAAAGATGGTAGTCCCTATTTGAGAATATTAAGAGAAAACCTTTTAAAAATGTCTAAGGGCTTTTACAAAAAATATCTAAACACTCTATATTTAGGTTAACAATTTATCAAATGATCAAATAATAGTTTGTTCAGTTTACAAAGGTTTCGTTCATTTGATGCTACTTTATACGGGTGTATATGGTAGTGGAAATCATCTACCTCTTATCAGAACTCAATGTTTAGTTTTTAAGCATATTGTACATGTGAGAATAATTGATCTTGCAATCTAATCAAGACTTTAAATGTATTTGTATTTATTTTTCTGGGTGATATTTTCTTGTTTGCATTGCAAGATCGATGCCTGCGAATAATTTAAATCTTAAGATACATATAAAACGGGTAATTTTGTTATTTATCTTAACGTAAGAGATATGTGTATATTCTGAGGCATCAGGGTTGAAAAAACTTTAGGTTTAAAAAGTTATTCTTTCTAATGCTTTTAGGTTAAGTTTCAGAAAACATGAGTACTTTAAGCCATGAATTAATCTTTGTTTTATCCATTTTTTTATTATTTTACTTATACAAACATTTTTGACGGGCTTGTATTCAAAAGCTATTGAAAATTTGAATAAATATCGCAATAAGGGTTCAATGAAAGAAACATTAACGGGAGAAATGGCCAGAATTTGGGTAAACCGGAGTAATCCGGAAGAAGTTCAATTAATTCAGTTTGGAGATAATTTGCCAAAACGTTTTTGGGTTCCTGCACCTTCTAGGATACGAACTTACTGTTAGAATAAAAATTTTACCTCGTATTTGACTATTGTAAGGTCAATGTAATAATTGTTTCAGTGTGAAATTTCGTGTAAACTCATCTTCGAAGCGGACGATCAGCAATTCGTCCGTTTCAAAATTAATCATCTTTATGAAATTACCGATCGCACTTTCCGATTTTTGTGTTACCAAATTGCCCCTTATTGATGTGACGTAGTTACAATGCAATGTTGGGATAGTGAGCATTGTAGGGAATTTTAATATTCCCAGCCTGGATGTGTTATAGTTCAATTTGAAGCTCTAGTGATAAAATTAATCACATTATTACACTTGGAGTTTTTTTTTGTTCTGTTGTAGTTAAAAAAATTGATTCGTTGGAAAAACTAATTGTTTAACATTTCTGCAGATTATTGGTCGCCAAAATTTTATTTGCATTCATTATATTATTTACACATCTGGAGTGAAAAGTAAGGCGAGATTCGCAGTAAAGAGACATTGCTTTCCATATAAATGTTTTTCTAGATGACACCATGTATCTAGGAACACTTCAACTTAGTCAAAAACATAGATAATCTCATTTTAAATTATCGTGTTACTTTCATAAAATGTACGTGTGAATGAGTAATTTCGACATACAAAATTTAATTGTCGCCGTTGGTAAAGCAAATTAAGGAACCAAGAGTGAAAAACTAAACAAGTTTTGTGGCTGTGGCTGAAGAATTTAGGAATTCAAACTTAGTCGCTTAGGAAGTGGACACTGTATATGTATCGATTTTATGAAACACCTGCATTTTTTTTCTAAATTTACCATCGATAACACACAAAGAAAAACACCTACATAATTTTTCAATTTTAACACTCACTGAACAGGAAAATAAAGTAAAATTACGTTACATATACAGGGTTGTTAAGTAAAGTAGTATGTTTAGTAATCAATATACTAGATAAAGATTTGTAAAAATTAGGTAGACTGCTTTACCAACAAAACATTTGTAAATAGGGCACTCGAATAATGTTAATTAAACATTGGAGTTAATTGTTGCCTGTTAAAATTCGTGTATTATCACTAACTGTTATAAAAGTCAGTACAAATACAAAATCTACCTCATGAATGTTAAAGTGAAGCGATTGTTTCACTTTAACTAGTACAAAATATTTAACATAATTTTTGTATCTTGTATAATAATAGGTGTGTATATTAAACTCAGGAATTTTCAAGTACAAAAAAAAATCATATTTCTACAAAAAAAATCAGGGAATCTCGTTTCATATAATAGTTGTTATTATATTTACATATAAAATAAACATTCTGGGTGAATATTTAAAAGCCAATAAACGTAATTTTGTAATTGTTTAAATGTATACAACAATCAAAAACAAAAATAATTCCTCAGCATAATGAATATTGAATATTTTTGTCTTTGACTAGATATTAATATGACTGTGACACTATCTATGTAACATTTTTGCAAACTTACGTGTTCTAGATTTAAACGTTACATTATCACCCTGTTGAAAATGAGTATTAAAATGAAATTAATTCACGATATAATGTAATGTACAGTACACCACCACTTTTATTCCACTCCTGCGTCGGGAGTATAAACAACTTGTGTATATAAAGTAATTTAAATGCAAGTAATTACATGTATTCATGTTTCTGTTTTACTTATTAATTTTAATAAACAATTTGTCGTTTATATCAAGTTTTATTTCTCCTTGCGTCGATAATTATCCATTGCAGTTTATTTGGTTCTTTACGAGTACTTAACAAACCTCTAAATCAAATATTTGTATATTTTTGAGATTTAAAAGCTTAAAGATGTAATGAGCGTTAAAGCTAGTCTTTGTGATTAACAGTACCTATGCGCTATATAGAGTTAGCATTCTGCACGGTTAAACCGTGAATAATAACTAAGAGGGGTGCATGAAAAGTAACCCTTTAGGGCGTTGCGAACCATTATTTTTATGTAGATACCCGTTCTGATTAATAGCCTCCATCCATCAAGCTATTTTGCATAAATAATTTACAATGGCAATATTTTCATGGGCTTGTTAGTCATGGCCTCTTCAAAATGTTAACTAATTTTTGGATGGACCATTCGGGTTTTCTTGATGGTTTATTTTGTGAATTGAAAATCTGATTAAATCAAACCCCCTCTGTCGTTTTTAAACTATCTTTTAAAGCAGTTTTTACCACGCGTTGATAAGTACTTGTTAATGAATGATAGCTTTTTTAGGTAATCTCTACACACCCCATATCGCTTTAATAAAAATATTATCCTTCTTGTATCTTCACGTGACCGGTACTTAAACAAGGATTTCGACACGTGCCATCACGATACTGCTTTTATTAGGCGTTGAATAATTGCTAATTGTTACGCGTTTTTATTTATGATTCATAAGGTCCAATAAATAAGTTACCCTCTAATTGAGAATTGGATCAATATTGGTCTGCAATTTGCCTCTCAAAATCCGAACCTACCCTCTACTTTTAATACCGTTTCATACATGCGTACCTAAACTCATGCATAAAACATATACTTTATACTAATAATGCATGGAATAAAAATACCGCTCATTAGATAAGCTGTTCACTCAGTATAGTACCTTTGATGGAAGAGGGTCCAATGCGAACCGAGGGACAAATAGCTGAGGTTTAAATCCGTCATAATCCCTAAAAGTAAGGGTGGATTTACTATTGTTCCGGTCCGTTGAATTTCGGAATTGTGTAATAGATTTATTCCTTGCTGGTGTGCCCGCTCTGCAAGTCTTATTGCCATTTTACCGAATGTTTCCAGACATTGTAACTAGAATACCTACTTTTCAGAATACACAATTCAATCAGTACTTTTTTATTCCTTTTTTAAATTTCAACCACTCTACTTCTATTAATAATTTGTATTATCAAACCCGTAGAAACCCCACAATACTTTTGGATCTGATTCTTTCTTGCATCAATCGATTCAGTATTTTTTTTATAAGTAGTACTTATATAAATTAAAATTTGACCAAAAATGGAGCTACCCCCTCCTTGCAGCAAGGTCCTCAATTCTTGAGCTTTGAAACTCAACTTTTAAAAATTAATAAAATTAAACAACTCCCGACCCTCTGTTAACACCTATTAAACACGTAATTTATTATAGAAACTAATAAATTTGTCGAAGAAATAACTCAATTCAAATCCCGAGTGGGCATATTACGTTACAGTATGTTGTGTTTGGTAGGCCCTTATCAATTAGATTACTTATCAACCAATGATACTTCAATTTTGTGGTGTTAAGTCACGTGTCTCGGCGAGCGCCATGTGCGGAGGCACGTGCCGGCATTTAAAGAGTGTCGGTCTGGAACCGAAACCGGCGTGTTTTTGTTATTTTTTGCTTATTAGCTCCATAATGATCTAGGATTATCCCTTTCGAAAATTGGATGACACTATAGCAAAACGCGAGTAGATACGAGTAGGTTTTATCTTTTTATCATTTAGTTCTCATGGGAACTAAATGTGATCATATGCTTAGTTTGTGTATAAGGTTTTGTGATAAAAGTGTGATAACACTCGAAGAGCGAGCTTTTTTAATATTTGTAGATATTACAGAAGGGATGGATAAACAATATAAATGAGTTTATTCCCAGCAATATTATCTAAAAGAGTGAAAGTATAGGCCGTGCAATAAAACTCTATTTAAACTTTCTTAGCTAATTGGCACGAACAATCCACATTCGATTATTTATTCATAGAGATGCAGTCAAGTATGTGTTGGAAAGGGGGTGCAGGTTTTTCATTTTCATCTCAAGTTACTGGCTCTAAAATAGGGCGTACAGTCGAGTTTCCCTTGCTGGTGCAACAATAGACAGAGTTCCTACTCCCTGCTGACTGCCAATAGCAATTATTTGCTCCCTTTGAATAATTAAATTTCCACCGTACTCGATTTTCTGACCATCTGTCTAAATCTTTGACAAGTCTTTATTCTATAAAAATATAGAATTACAAAAAAATAAGCACTGTGTTTGCTTTAGACTATACGATGTAGGTGCTCGTGTAATTGAATTTTGTAGAAGATATACTTGGTGAATTGTTCGTAGAAATGTTGATAGAATGTATGTATGTATATGAATTTAGTTTATTCGTCTTAAAAGTGGCATGAATATTTAGTTTTTTTTTTAAGAATTAGTTTCAGTCAATACGTTCATCATCAGGTCTATAAGGAAGGTTCGTAAAAAGAACTTCATCTCAAAAAATAAAGAAAATTCTATGTGCTTTGTAAGATTGTCAAGAATGTTCATATTTTTATTTTGTTATCTGATGACGGTTGCATATAGGCTGAAATTTAAACAATCATTGATAAATTTAACTAGTAATTTTTGGGTAACTCTTCTTAGTAGATTCCAAGCGTCTATTTCCTTCTATTATTACAAATAATTTCACCAACCTAATTAATTTTCCTTCGGCCGCATCTCCGCTAGTATTTATTTTAGCGGTTTCTATTTATTAGGGTGTGCGTACACCCCGCTTTCGCCGTAATCTCATGCTAGCATCTAGACAATGAACAAGAATTACTGTCCCTTTTGCCCCTGCTCTGCCGTGCCCCCCCGAGGCTCTTAGTGGCCCACGTGGTAAGTAATGTCGTGCGCATTGGGAATTATAACGATAAAAAGTCCTGATAATAGTTTTATGTATGTTCAAAATCGCCCCAAAAAAGTGAATGGAGAATATGCAAGTAAAGCTAGAAGAAATTCGTTCGGAAATATCAAATATTTATGATGTTAATAATACCTAAAAATAATATAATTTTGAGTAGGTAACTACATTGTTTTAAATATGCAGTTAATAACATCATATTCGTAAACCCTCCATCAACTTTTTTACCCTCTATCTTCTCTTCTTATTGTCTACCTGAGGTTTATTCCGAATGATGTCATTACAATAGCACGGTGTCACCACATGCAGCAACTTTGATCCATTCTAAAGGTGCCAGACCATAAACTAATTTTTTTATGCGGCACATAGGGATTTTTCGATTCATTTTTTCCCTACTTTCACATTTTTTACAAAATATTTTCGAAACCTAACAGATGTGTACATTTGAATACAGCTAATGAAGCGTATTGAAACAGTTTGCAAACACGTATAATGGAAAACATTTGTTACTAGAACCTTCTTTACAACAAATGTTGTTTATAAAATATAGGTAGATACATTGGGTATAAGCAGTTTGGAAGAAACTGAAACTGTTTAAAAAATAGTTGGTAACCTGGGAAGGTCTACATGAACTATCTGGTATTTTATAAGTATTTAATAGAAATTAAGGGTATTGAGGTAAAATATTGCACAAAATCAATTTCACGGATAACCACCAGTAATCTAATTTCCACAAATATATATTTTATTACAATTTCTTCTAACAAGCGGAAATATTGTATGTAATTCCGATTTCACACCGGCCCTTATGGCTTTCGGCCGATAAATATAAATCAGGGCCCCCGAAAATGGTAGAAAAGCCAACGGAGGAACGGTATTTTGCAGCTGCCTTGATCAGTAGACCAGAACAACCCCCGATTTCTGTGCAGCGGGTACCTCGCTACAGGGAGGGATTATTTTTATTTATTTCATTCATAAGGGTATCTTATTTCGGGGGATAATTGCTACAGATCCGTTTGTTTGAGCAGAACAAATTTCAGAATTGGCCGCCTCGAGCCTTTCAGGTGTATGTTTGTTTTACAGTAAATAAATACTAATGGGGTTTGTATTTTTTTTTATTTAGTGTGCTACTTATGTACTTTTATTGGTGGTATTATTAATCATTTGATCGATTTACAATAATATGAAGATATATTTATAACAATTTGAGATGAGCCAATATTCCCATATATTTCTGAAGAAAAGTCTTTTCGAATCACAAGAAATATTATTGTATTACATTTTTTGCATTATTACTTGGTTGGTATATGCATAAGTTTCAAATAAAAATTACAAAATTTTATTTGTTTTTTTATTTTATTTTTGTTTCGGTGACATCTACAAAACTATCTTACAAACAAATGTGCCATTATATTTTTGTGTCGTAAGAAAAAAATTGCCAATCATTATACGGACCTGCACCGTTTGATCAGAGTCGTATTTACAGGCACTGTTTCTAACAATACCGGAGCGAAAACGGCGTCCGGGGGTTGAACACACGCGAACAGCTCATACTTCAGATGTAATATTTCTGTAGTGGCCCGAGAGTCAAATTGTACCACCCCTATTGGCGGTGCAGGGGTAGCCGGTGAATGGTCGTGTTTATGCGCCAAGGGGGCGAGCAACCACCGTACGCACCTGTTAAGCAAATCGTGATTTGACGCGGAGATTTTAACGCTTATCGTTTCGTGTTGTGTGTTTGGACTTTTGCACTTCATTATGAAACAATTAGGACGGAAACAGTTCGCATGAAACATTGTTATCAAGTACAATAATTTTCTCAACATATGCTTATTTTCTTAATTAATTCCAATTTTTAAATGAAAGTCAATTAAATTTTGGTAGGTTTCCCAAGAATCTCCTGAAGACATCTGAAAATTACGCGGGAACTGAAGAATGTTTCGAAGCATTTTGTTCAAATGAACTGATTCCATCTTTCAGATTTTTGAGTTAAAGATATACCTACTTTTGTGTTAATATTTTACTTTCTTAAGGACATTCAAAATTATTAAGAGTGTGCATAACCATATTTGTATGATTTTGAAATTAAATAAAAAACGTTTGTTAAAAATCATACACTTTATTATTGAAAATATATTTTTGGTATATAATATAACTTCATAAAAATTCTTACATATGAATAATTAAATCACATTTTCAAGACTAGTTTTATGATTACTGACTAGATTATGTGTTTTCGTAAAAAACGATATTTTTCTGCGCAAAATTCTTGTAAATTGTATTTAAAATTTCACGTGACACTTGACATGTGCAAAACTAATTAGACTCCGATAAAAAGTATACAAAAGAAGGCACTATTTAGAAATCTCAATATTTTTAAACACGTCACTACTTTCTCGTATATAATCAAACCGATAAAAAATAGCCTTTTAAACTCTCATGTCTCATGAAATCACAAATCGTACATTCTAACCTTTCAAACAATGAGGATAGTCGTAACCGACTTGGTAACCATACTGGTCAAAATTTGCACCATTCGTATATTGCTCGTAATTGCTACTAGGATAAGTTTCCAGTTCGCTCGAAAAGCCCAGGTTTTGGTAATCGCTGCCGCAAGGCTCGTTCCCGACGTAATCCTGCATAAAACTGGCGTTAGTGATGCTGCCGCTGGTGACCACCGCGTTCCCACCGACCTGCTCCAAGTTCTTCGAGGTAATCGTGTTTCCGTGCTTGCTAATGGACACCGTAACATTCCCTACATTGATTGATATGCTATCGCTCGAATTCGAGAAGCTATCCAGATCGTTCGCGGCTTGGGACAGAGCGTAAATGTAGTTATGAGCGAAACGCAGCGTTTCGATCTTGGTGAGCTTGGTGTCTTCAGGGAACGTGGGCAGGACGCACCGCAGCCGCTCCAACGCCTCGTTCAGCATGTGCATCCTGTTCCTCTCCCTGTCGTTCGCCTTCATCCGCCTCACGCGCTTTATCCGCATTATCTGGGTGGGGCTCTTCGCCCTGGAGACCCGGTTGCGGCCGGTCGCGTACTTCCTCTTCGGCTTCTCCTTCACCGGCGTGGAGCACTTGCTCTTGTCGCTGTCGAGCGGATAGTAGAACTCCAGCTCGTCGTTGTTGTTCTCGAAGACGTTGCGTTTGAAGGGCTGCTGTTGGTCCCATGTCGGCTCGTAGGGCACCGGGGATTTGACTCGCTCGATGAGGCTGCCGTGGAAGGCGGCGTTGAATTTGTCGTATAGGTCGCGATTGAAGTGCTCGGGTCTTCGGAGCCTTTTGATTGGGGATATGTCGCTGTCTAAGTCGAAGTAGTCGTTGCGTTCGTCCGTTAGGTCCGAGGATTCGGATTTGAAGGAATACTCGAAGCCGGAATCGCAGCTGTCTTCGTACGAGAAGTCACTGTATTTCGTGCAATAGGACATTCTGGAAGCAAAAGAAAATCACTTAGAATATATTGAGTATTTTTCGTAATTAAATCATGATATACGAGTACTTAGAAAATTAAAATGGTATACTTAAAAAATGTTATTTATTTCAAAGATTTTGTTTTTTTTTTGGAGAATTTTATTATGAGTTTTTCTTAACTAAATGGTTAAGGAATTGTTTAATATAAATAAAGCTGATTCAAATTTAAAATTCGACTTTTTATTAAGAAAAGTGCTTATGGTGGTCCATATTTGGCGCGCTTCCTCTAATGGTAAAAATTTTTGAATTTTTAATATAATTTTTTTTTATTTTGAGTCGGTGTAGAAACCTAATACAATTATTATAATCGAAGTTACTACTATAAAATTTAAAGTTTGTAAAAATATTTAGATATTGTTTAGTAGGTATTGTAGAAAAAATGAATGAAGAATGATGAAAGATAACAAGGAAGCAATAAAAGAAAATATTAAAAAAATATATTTATTACGCAAACTTGCCATTTATATCTAATTCATTAAGGGGATTGTTAGAAGGTAAATGAAAATAGCGTAAATAAATAAAAAGTAAAAGAATAACATTTGAAACTTTTTAAATTTGGTATTACCTACTCGGTCAAACCACCTAAACACTTTAAATTAAAACAGGAAAAGTAGTATTAAAATAACTGAATGTAATACACGAAAAAAGTCAAATCACGAAACTTACTTTTTTCTTCGCTAGTCCTAAATTAGAGGAATAAAAGCGTGACAAACGCACACGAACAGTCACTGCACATATTGAGCACGCTGGGTCGGTTCTACGTGGCAAACTAAACTATAACACCACGATGAGGGGTGCACCTTTTTATACGTATGGGGCCAATACTTGAAACCCCTCCACAAGTTGCACGCCATGCTTGCAATCAAAGCCTTTTTTTCCGCCGAAATTATACGCATAGGGCTTTTAAAAAAAATGATCTTACAACAAGTGAAAATAAATTTGATACAAAAAATTGCTGTACTAACCTAAAGTTAAATTTTACGGTAATTGGGTATTGTCATGAAAATAATAGCATGTATGCACCTAAATGTGTTTAATATTAATGTCTCAATTAGTACTAATATGTATTTTTTAAAGTAATTAAAAGTAGGTATCAATTTCAAGATGTATATGAGTGAAATGAGTGAAATATTAAGGCCTGTTACCAGTAAATTTGTGTTTCAATGAGCCTATATAAATAAATTCCACATACGAATAAACTAGTATTAGTAAGTGTTCTAAGTACATACTAAATTGTTCACTTATTTAGTAGATACTACATTGCATTGAATCAAATCCAAATACAACCGTTTTCACCCTTTCTTCGGTTTAGCACCATCTGTCCTGGTGCAAAAATAACGCAGTTTCGATTTTTTTCGAAACATTAAATTTTCTTTCGTGTCGAATTTCTTTCAAATATTTTTATTGGAGCAATAGCTTCCGGAGGTTTATGTCGAATAATATTTATTGGATATTTCATGGTGCACCTTCGAAATCGGGTGCACGAAAAAAAGGGTTGCAATAATGCGTTTGTGATAAATTCATACGCGTTTGTTACGGATGGTTTATTGGATTGATTTGTCGCTTTCATTTTGTACACGAATAAAAAACTAGGAAACAAAATTGTTAACGTTTTGTGCTTTTATTGCGTTCGGATTTCAGATGTGAATCTATCTTGCCGGTGGTTTCTGGTCGGCTTTTTCCCCTGCAACAACTTTACCACCTGTGTCGGTTCCGCTTCGTCCAAGTTACTATCTGATGCAACAGACAATAACTCTAATCTGTTAATCTTGAAACATTACCGCTCGACTGTGAAATAATACTTTAATCGTTTTGTAATGTCGGATAAGTACCAAGCACCCTCGTGTATTAGTACAAAAAAAGGAATACAAATATAAAATTGAATGAAAAATGTTATCTACAGTTTCTTTTCTTTCAGGGAATGCTAATAGGGATAGTTCGATATTTTTATTATTATGGAATTTAAAAAGGTATGTGTAAACTTTTTAATAGGTAAGGGTAGGTTTTTTGAAATGTGTAATTTTTAATTGTTTGTTTTGTAAAGTAATATTTCTTATAATTGGCAAATGGTGCTGTTCTAAATCAATGATTTTGGAACATATGTATATGCAATAATTACCTGAAATTTCGTGAAGTATAATAATATCTACATTATAGCTCTTTTCATTAAAGAGCTTTAAGGAAATGTACAAATTTTAAGTCTTTTTTTCTTTTATAGCAAAGAATATTCGTTATTTTAAGAAATATAAATAAAAATAAACAAACTTAAAGTTTATAAAAATACCAAATAAAACTGCATTAAAAATTTTCCATTACTCAATTATGTTATAATGTAAGAAACAACTATTAGGAATTTGTATTAAAAATTACGATAAACTACTATTTCATAATATTCATGCTAATTATAGTTTCATTTAATTAACAACTTATTATCAATATTATTTCATTTTGAACCAAAAAAATGAAGCACTTCTTAAATAACTGACTATATAGCAAGATTAACTATGGAGAATAATAAGGGGAAATTCGTTATTTAGAAGGTTTTTTTTTGAATATTAAGAAAATTTTACGGGCGCATGGATTATCATGTTTGTTATCTACACAGAAGTGAACATTACAAGTGATTTGTCAATAATTGTTTCAAATAAAACAAATATTAAGTTGCTGAGGGAAACATTATAATATTAACCTTCCGTATAATTTTAACAAATATGCACGTGGTTTTTGTAAATAAATTGTCACTGATTATTGTGATTTTTGACATTTATTAAATACACCTAAGCAAATATTACCGTGATTTTAATTAAATCTCTACCAGTTGCAGATTTTTTATTTCCTACACCCTGATTTTGTTCCAATATTTAAAGGCTGCGTTTAATTCCTATCACATTTGACTACTCTGAAATATTATTTATTATTTTATATTTATTTAATGCGTATTTACAATTAATTTTCAATTAGCACAACCGATATACTTTTATTGATATGTGGCATAAATATGGTATTATAATGAAAGGTTTTAAATTTGATATTTCATATTGATCCGGTTTAATATTACAAGTTCTATGTCAGGAAAATGGAATTTTTTCTAAAATTTCAGATCGTTAAATTTTTTCATAAGAGTTGTACATTTTTTTCCTATTACTAATAATGGATAATGAAATTGTAATGATTTTAAGACTTTTCTTATCATTTAAAATCTCTTTTCTCTAATAGGTAAATTTCAAGTCACATACAGAAAAGAAATCATTAAAAACCTCGTTTCATTAGCTAGTTCCTTCATTTTCCATAAGCTCTATTAAAATGAACTGGGGTTTAAAAACACAGCCCCTCCAGATATTCATACCAGGAGTATACGACTACCGCCATCTTTCATACCTTACCCTTAGATATTTGTTCCCCCTTCACATCGATTTGTGGCCCTACTCCTGCCATCTATTTTCAACCCTTACAATCATCCAGAGCCGTTTTACTATCGATCAAAAATTATATCTGCCCAATGAAAAATTCAGAACCTAAAATAATAACAATTCTTCAATGTTCCACGTACGTTAGCAACAACAACACGCTCAAATAAGAAATTATCCAAAGTTAAAGTACTTGGTGTATTGAAATCACTCCACCACCTGATGTTTAAAATGTGACCGAAATTATCGTTTGTGGTGAAAGTGTTTTTCCAATATTAACTGAGTTTTTCCACTGGAACAAAATGCCTTCGAATGCCGAAAGTGGTCTTCAACCCAACGAAGATAGGCCTCACACCTTGTATGTTGCACCGATAGATAATTCTTCTTGGCCGTCAGGATCTCACAATATTTCCTACACTATTCCATCAGGTAAGCATGCAATATTCATATGTGAATATACATTTTTTGTTAATGAACTTTGGTGTAAAGTGAGCTGACTGTTTTAGGTACTTGGTGGCCTTGGTGCGATTACTGGAAGGATCCTCAACATATTTTGTACCAATCAGCCAATTTTTGCTTTGTCTTAGCGTATTGTTCCACTTGCTCGAAAAGAGGAGTACTGTTCATGCACTGTTGGCTAATACTTGGTAAGTTCTTTTAGCAACATTGTTAATCTATTCAAACAAAATATTTTATTAACTAGGTCTAATACTATTTTCAACATGGGCTTGGAATGTAATTTGCGCTCCCGACGTCTTCACTTGGAATTTCGCATTCATGCTAATGAACATGGCTCAAGTTTTCCACATAATCTACCAACTTCGACCAGTGAAGTTTGATGTGGAATTAGAAGAAGCTTATCACACATTATTCGAGCCATTTAAAGTACATTTTATGCAATTAAAATGTATATAAACATCTTATATTCTGAATATTTCAGATACCAAGGTTGCAATTTAAGAAAATGGTGAGCTCAGATTTTGCTGAAATTATGTCGTTGCATGCAGGTGAAGCCTATGCTGTCCAGAATCTAACCAGAATTGACAGACTTGGATTGCTTCTTTCAGGCAAGGTAATTGTAATGCTCAAAATAATTTCCTACATGTCAAACAACAAGGATCCAGATTATTTATACACAGCACCACATCGCGTGCTCTATGGAGTTAAATTTAAAATTTCATTTATGAGACGGGAAATTAGGGTTTTTATCAAGAATTAAATCGGATTATTGCTGCTATTGTTAGAGTACACAAAGTGGTGTCGACCCAGTTTTTTCTTGTGCATTTGGTCAAGAAAATTGAATATTAATGTGGACTTTAAAGTAGCTCTAATTGAAGCAATTATTTAACATACACAATATTGCAGGTAAATGTGCTTTCTGATAATCAGTTTCTACATCCGATTCTACCATGTGAATTTTTGGATTCCCCCGAATTCGAATCCAGTCGAAATACTGTCGATGACAAGTTCAAGGTACTACACATCATTACATTTTATCGAGTTATACTTAAGTACAAGCATTTGTAGGTATCTATAGTCGCAGCTAGTACCTGCAGGTACTTATTTTGGCAACGAAGTTCGCTGGAATACCTATTCGTAAAGGACACCTACATAGCCACTGTTCTCACCACCCTTATAGCTCGAGATATAGCCACAAAATTGTACGCAATGAACAATAAGATCGTTACTGCTAAAGGTTCTCATTTGGACATTAGACTTCCGAGTATTACATCTTCGTTAACTTCAGGAGGAGAGTACAAGTCACCTATTCGATCGAAGAAAGCTAATGGCGGTATGTATACTGAGTGACAAAAGTAAAAGAACACCAAGAAGCAAATTTTATTTTTTATTCAAACTGTAGAGAGTGTGTACAGCACCACGGTGGTGCAACACATTATTAATTTTTTTTTAAGTTTTGTTGTTAATTTGGTGAATTAATTTTAATCATGTGTTTATTTTTCTCTTATACATGTAACTAGAATAAATGGTTAAATTTCAACAACTATTTTTTTGTGTTCTTTTAATTTTGTCACTCAGTATATATCTTAGGCTAATTTTTTTTATACCATCCATGAAAGATCTAGAAAGATAATAGACTTTGGATAGATTTCTATTGTTGTTTTTTTTTCACAGGCGTAGGCTTGGGTTCGGAGCTCTTCTGTAACGAAAATTCCAAAAACAAATACAGAGAATCAAACGTAGTTCAAAATTGCTGCGAAATGGAACCGTTGACTGAATGTCCATCAGCCGATGATTTGACTTCTAATGACGTTGAGAGCTGGTTAGAAACGAGTTCTAAGTATCACAGTTGCGAGATAGTCGACATGGACTGATTAGTTTTAGAAGAAGTTGAGAAAATCTAGTGTATTTTATGTAAATGAATTATTACTTTTTGGAAAAATCTGTACTCACATGGTTGAATATTGTCTTTACATGCCAAATAAAATAATCTCTAATAAATTTCGTTATTACATTTATTTTACGATGTAATATTTATTCTGAAATTTGATCCTGTGTCCTACATATACGAGCAATATTCTGCTGTTTACCCTGCTGTGTACGCCCGCATTGATTTGGCATAAAATCGTCTATATTACGGAAAATCTATTCCGAGAACATTGGTCTATTATGGGTCTATTTGAAATCGAAGGCAAATAAAATAAATATTTGAAAGACAATAGCCCTGCGAAGGACGAACGAAAGCAGAGATTTTACAGGTTAGATTAAGTTCTCTTATTGAATCATAAAAAACATTTCACTAACGCGATTTATTTTTTATGCGGAGTCATTTCGAGAGAATCTTATTTATAGGAATTTAATCAAAGAGGTATTAAAGCGAACGTGTACGAAGCACGAAATTTTCCTCTCTTGTATCGGCGCTGTTAATGAAGTTTCCTTGGGCTAATGAATTCCAAATAAAAATGCCATCAAAGCAAATGTTCGGGGGCGTATCTAACGTCACTTACAACGCACGTTAAGCGGTTTAGTTGTTCATAACGCAATGTTGTGCTATTTGAAATAACAAAGTTCCATTCGTTTATTTACATAACACCGCTCCTTGATAACTGAAATTACTTCCCTTACATTGAGTGAATTTGTCAGCATTCAATTTCTGTTTTCAATGTTCCAATACAATTATCCGATAATTCTGAAAATAAATTAATCGTTTATAATGAAACGTGATGCCTAATGAATATGCATTAATTTACCTTGCCTTATGCATAAATTCTTGTCATAAATAATATTAATTTACTACCTATATAGAACATTAGGTACTGTATTAGATATTTTAAAATATTATCACCGTATACGTTTATTTACTTCCTCATGTATAATGTATAAATATACGTAGATAATTTTAATTCGGCGAATTTTCCATACAATATAACGAAATCCGAATTATTACAACATCTAGTTATATAATTTTATTTAACAATCGCCGCGTATAAGACTACATACTTATTGATATGTAATGTACCAAGTTCACCGATGTCAAGGTTGGTAAATACCCGAATTAGCATTCACATTTTCTTCGACATAACAACAATTATTTATTTATTGTGACGCGCTAATATTAAAATGTTGTACTGAGCGAACCATCAGCGTAGATAAAAATGCAAGGAAGTGTCTTAATTGTTGTTGGAATTTTCCTTATTGCTAGTGACGTGCACGAATGTAAGGTGTACACGAAATGTGGACTCGCTCACGAATTATTGATGATGGGATTTGATAAATCGTACGTTGGAAATTGTGAGTATTTATTTTTTGCAACTGAACAATTGTTAATTATTCTAAAAGATAAGTTAAAAGTTATTCATCATAAACTTCATAAGTATTTTTTAACATTAAATATTGCTTTGGTATTGGCTTGGTTATCCTAAATGTTTAATATTTTTGCAGGGGTGTGTATGATAGAAAGCGAAAGTGGACGAGACACATCTAAACAGGTCAATAAGGCAAATGGAGGGCGAGCTTTAGGTCTTTTTCAGGTTTGTAGTATACCATTTTTTTATCTATTAACTATTATTTATAGCCATATTACAAACTCGAAACGCATACTTTATTATCTAAATTGGTTGTTACAGATAAATAGTAAAGAATATTGCACTTTTGGAAGGCCGGGCGGCAAATGCAATGCAAAATGTGAAGGTAATTTGTATTTAGTAAATATAGTGTATTTAGTGAAATCAATGTATTATATGAACAACTGTATTCAATTGAGTTGTAATTTTATTTTAGATTTTCTTGACGAAGAACTGACCAAAGACGCGGCTTGTGCCAAAAAAATTCAATCGGATTTGGGTTTCAGATACTGGCAGGGTTGGACTAGAAGTTGTTACGGTCGATCCTACCCTTCTACTATTGTATCCCAATGTTTTCCAAACCAGTTGCATTATTAATTTTTAACCAGAAACCATAATATTTAAGTTGTATACCTAAATGTAATCCAACATCTCTTCTTGTTACTAAGATATATTTTGCGTATTTAATTAAGGTTTGATGAGTGAGCCCCAAATTATAGGGTGTTAATTAATTGAATGCCGATATTTCAGGATGTGAATATTTGGATGATTTTAAGAAGAAAACTTTATATCAATATATGTCCTAAATATCTTAGTTTTCGAGCTACAGGGTGTTAAAATTAAAAAAAACTTTTCTATAATAATTTTGTTATTACTTTATGAAATTTATTAAAGATATTTTTATGAAATTTCGCCACTGGTAATAGAAGAAAATTAATTTTGCCACCAAAAAAATGTTTCCGTGCATGGTGGGCGCCTACCAAATTTCAACAAAATATCAAAAGCAGTCTCAGTTGAATTTAGGAAATGGTGCTAAAAAGGCTCCTAAATGATTTAAAAGTGTATACAAAATTTCATAAAAATATTTGGACTAATAAGAAAATTATGATAGAAAAATGTTTTTTTTCTAAAATTTTAACACCCTGTAGCTCGAAAACAAAAAGGTTTAGGACATACATTGATATAAACTTTTCTTCTTACAATCATCCAAATATTCACATGCTGAAGTATCGGCATTCAATTAATTAACACCATGTATATAGATCTAAGTAGGGGAAATATAGGAGATATAGGAAAATTCTATGAAAATGTTAAATAATTACTCGCTAAAAAATAGGACACACGGTCATATTTTGGCAACTAAGGAACTTCTCTGTTCTTCATTACATCATGTTCTCTCTCCTACTGTATTGCTAAATTTTTGCATATTTTGGCGAACTTCTGCTCCTCCGCCAAAAATTCAAATGCAAATCTTCAAACAAAGGAAACGAGCAGAACTAAATCTAAAATTGTTCATTAACCTTCACCTTTAAGGAATAGATATTTAACGCCTATCCTTGGAATTGCACGCAAATCTAAATTTTGCATTTGTAGAAACTCTCACAGATTTGTGCATCCAACTATTTAGAATTTGTAATATTTTACGAGTTTCTCTTTGTTAAAAATTAATACGAGTACGTTATCGAACCCATTTGTTGAGTTATAAAAAATAAAACCTTTTAAAAATCCAAACGTATGAAAAGATATTATTCAAAAAATTGGAAACGAAACATACTGTTCCTCCGCAAACTTCGAATAAGCGCCGGATATAGATACAAATAGGCACGTATTAGATAGATGGATAAGTACAAAATATGATTGTCTGGAGGATAATGGGAGGACAACAACTCTAAAACAACAACAACAAAAAACAACCGAACATCCATGTGCAGAATATCGATTGGGGCTCGCACAATGGGGTAGTTGACCAACCAAAGCAGCACGCGGGGAAATCAATGAGAAGCCGTGGATAACGTTCTGGGAAGCAGTAGAATGGGGCGTGTCGAAGGAGATACATCGCACGCCTCTGTGAATTTACGTAAATATCGCTGTTAAAACACATTACCCTCTGTGCAAAAAATTAGAGCTCACAATGAGGTGGTTAAGTGATCACGACTTCGGGTCGGATGTGCAACAGTCGTAGCGATCGATTTTTATATTAAAATGTGTCAGGTAAGTTGGTGTGAATTAATCAAACTTTGTTATGAAAATTTCGTTCGTTGTTGAATGAGATTTATTGAATGAAACAGAAAATTGGATTCCAAAGTTTGGAATGTTTTTAACGTGAAGCAAACATTATGTCCTAATTTGTAGATCGTATCGTTAACTTAGGTATTTCGTGTTGGAAGTAGTTGTTTGGTAATTGAAAACAAACAGAGTTTACTATTTATATTGTGAATTGGTATAAGTACTTCTGATGTGTTAATTGCATAAAATTTCTAATTTATCGCTGTTTGTTTATTAGAAAAATTCCTTTAGGGAAAAGAATTGCATAAAGAGGCATTTATTAAATAAAAAAATGATAAAACTAATAAACAAATAAAAATTATTATAATTCAAAATTTTGGCGTGTAGATTAATTAGAATGTAGGTAATACTATTATTATTTGGGACCCCAATGAACAATTTGTTAATGTTTATAGGTAACTATTAAATTATACAAGCAGAGTTTTTATAACTTTACAACTTTTTATTAGAGGTTTACATGTGCAAACCGCCAGGTGAACCAAAATTTTACTAAAAGTTTTATAATTTGATATCAGTAATATTTCAAAGACTAATAAAAAAAATATTGTTCATTGGGACACTTATTTCTTAATTGTCTGTTTATTCAGTCCCGGTATACTGAGCATACATTAAAATCACTGAATTTTAAATTAATATGTTTTTAAAACATCGATTTTTTCGAAAAGCAATTAATTTTCCAATATCCACGAATTCCTGCATAAAAACGGAACGTCTGTCACCGGACACGGATTGGTCCAACCTTGACATCTTTCTTATTTTATTAAAAAAATCGTGCATGACCCAACTAATAAAAAAATTCCATGCAGTAAAACGATTTGCAAATTAATACCCACTTCCACCAAATTATTTATTTATAGATTCATGAAAAGGAGAAATTACCCGCTGAAAAGAAAGCTTATAATTGATTCCTTTTTCTTTTCCGTGTCACGAAAATAATTACATTTGAGGCAGAATGAAGAAAAAATATATTTTCCTTCTGTGACAATTCTATTTTTATGCAGGCTTTGTAATGAATTTGTAAGATGTGCATGCATGTTTTGGATAACGTAAGTACAATGTTGTCAACACACATTTTCAGTAATTGTGGCTTGTTTCTATATAAATGGTATTTACTGAATGCAAATTTAAATTTCCATCGATCCAATAATGTTCTCTATTAAGCCATAAAAATGAATATACTCGAACAAATCGCAACTATTCGTCCCAAATTGCATCAATAAAGCAATAATTTCGCGAATAACAAACACACTAGCGTTAATATTTTATGGGTAATAAAATAATGAATTGCTCTTTTGAAAACAGAATAACCCGGATTATTTATAGTAATTTTATTTTAACTTGAATAGTAAAAATTACCATGAAAGTTGAACTAAGAATATTAACTTTATAATTCCTCTTTCGCATTCGATTACATATTTAACAAAATCATCCCACATGAAACGGGTAATAAATTACAAGGTACCCCAAATAACCTTTCTCTGTGCCGGTATTGAGAAATACTTAGGTTATTTAATAAAGGGCAAAGGGTTGCTTTGAAAGCAACTGCTACACTTATTCCAGCTACTCCAGTAATCACAAGGTGTTTTAGCAAAGGTCAGTCGTTTGTAAATAAATTTTATTGTAGCCATTTCGACAATACTATATAAAACAACCAAAGGAAGGAATTTGTAAATTACATTCCTCCAAAAATGCTGGAAAAACTTTTAATAAAGAAATTAAACAATTTCCTCACGTCGAGAGGTTTGTCGTATATAAACTTTTCCCAAATCGAAATGAGAAAACTTGTTGATATCATGCTCCTATTAAATCTTCATTTGTGAAACTTTGCGTTAACGCTTAATTAGCCTGCGTGGGTTTCCATATGACGAAATTATACCGTTACGAAATCGTTAAAAATATGGCACAGTTCTATTAGCAAATTAAAACTTCATAGCAGAATTTTATTATATCTACTATTTTGATTATCCTTTTATTAAGCACCCTGAAAAAGCTTCATGCCATTCGAATTAATACCGGATTATATATTCCACGGAAAACTCTATTAAAACGGTAGTTTTGTGTGTAGTTTAGTCGGCGTCGAGTTTGCAAGTTCACGGTTTTTAAATAGCCTCCATTTGCATTTCGGCATTAATTATAATTACATCGCCACGAACGGCTGTTTTATAACTGGTAGTTTGGTAGTTTCGCTCGGCATTCAAAAGCTGCCTTTTCAGTGAACCATAATGGAAACAACTGTGATTCTCTCAAGGACTTACTCGTCGAAGATCGTTCCTTACAAAACGAATTTCAGAAGTCCGAGATTGAAGGCGCGCCATGACGTCAAAATGATCGTCGATTTCAATCGAACCGTATCGAACCTGACGGATATCCGGCCGAACTTCACGTTCGCAACCGACGGCAACATGTCGTATTGGAACCAAAGCGATTTTTTCCACAACTTGACCAACACCTCCGAATTGGAATTCGACTATCGAACGCTGAACAGCACCGACAAGGAGGAGCTGTGGAGCAGCTGCAAGGAGTGGACCCCGGCGCAGCACAATCTCTTCCAGACTGCTAATTTCTTCTTCGCCGCCGCCTTCTTGGTTCCCGGAAATTTTAAACAGAGCGTTCTGTTAGTTAGGTAAGATGTTTTCAATACACTCTCCTGCTTAAGGTCTGAATAGTCTTCATACTATTATTGATATCTAAGTTTGCTACTTATGTATAGTCTTTCTAATGTCAAATCAAAATAGTATCACAAAGTCTCATCTACAAAACGTCTAGGCACCTGTAGTATTCCTACAGCTTCATTTTATTATTTCATATATTATATTTTCCTCCAATCTTCATATTTCCATCCATTCAATAAGCATCGGAAAGAGTATAGGTAAACGTAAATTTGCTTATGTCACGAAAAAGCAATTTCCGCCGGCTCACGCTTACAGGGTGCCTCAAATTGAACCACTATACTCCTAAAGAGTGCCTATCTTAAACCATCCATACATGCAAATTTGTGACACCCTGTATACCGGCTCAACGTCCAGACACCAAATCAAATATCATATATTATAAAGGTTCGAGTTTATTGGAAACTCTCGAGTCAGGCGACGTCGGCGTCGCGACGCCTGTATGTGCCAATACGTTCGAAAGGAGCCGGTAATGGAGCGGTTGTTAAGTTGCTAAACAACCGCTTTCCAAGGACAGACTCGTCAGGAACACGTTATTATGTAAGGTAGAGAGAACCGTAATTTGCCTAAAGCGAAACGCCAAATCACTTCCCATCGGCAAATCGGGCGTATCGGAAATGGATTTGAAAATTATGCGGGGTCATTTACTTGTAGGAAACTTGCCAAATGGAACAGAAGTGCTACATAATATACACCATTTTCCGGACAAATGATGAGCAATATAGCCGTAACCTTTTCTAAGTAACTCGTAAGAAGGTATTTGAGTTACCGTAACATTCAACGCAGATTGATTCTATTCATTTATCAATAAACCCGTTGTTGTCGAATTACCTTTATGCGAAACTGGACTAGATACTAGATTCCCACGAAGCTCGCCCGACCTCCACACAATACCTATACACGCAAAATTAATAGTTCACATAGGCATAGTATAAAAATAACGCGGCCAACAAAGTGAACTCGAGTCGCTTGTTGAATAGGACTCCCCTTCGCCGCCTCGTCGAGGACTCCCGCTTCGAAGTTCTTTGTGCAAAACTGACAACGGGGCTGTCAAACGCGCTACTTCAACACAGGTGAATCGGCTCGCATTAAAAGTCGGAACGGAAGCGAGCACGACAACAAAAAAACTCCGTTGTCCAGACTTTCGCATTGAATTACGAAATGCGATTGTTTGCCGACTGAAAGGATTGTTGTTTTTCGTCCAATTTGGCGAGTTTAATTGAAAAAAAATCGCCACACAAAAGGCGACGAAAGCTCTAGAAAGCATTGCGAAATTTATTCAAATACTTGAGTAAGTGGATTTTTAAGTGAACAATGCCTCATTCATCGGTCATTGAAATGTCATTTGATTGGGTTTTTGGCACAAAATTGATTTGTGCCAAAAGGTTTATAAACGCTATAGCGTCCCTCTTAGGCGTAAAAGACCAAATTTGTTTAATACAGTTTTGCCTTTTGTCCAAAATCCATCATCCACTCTTACAATGATATCAATTGAATTAATTCAAATTATGAGAAATTACTATAATAGAATTTTAGAATGTATCGAATAGAGAAAACTAACAGACGCCGGCCTCGACTCAAAACTCGATCCATTTTCCCATTATCTATTACTACTTTAATGTAAACTCAACTTAATATTTATTCCCTTTCTAAAACTTATTCTTATTCTCATTCCAGAGCACTGTTGTCAATTGGTTATTTTTTCTTGACCATATGGGGCGGTGTAGAAGTGTGCGCTCCGGACATTCTCCTGTGGAATCTAATCATTGTGATATTAAATGCAGGCCACACCGCCTTACTGACGTGGAAGTTTCTGCCTCCTACGCTGACTCTGGAATTGACAGATTTATATCTGAAGGTAGGAAGCACACGGGGATTACATTCAATTAGGAAAGCTGCGCTTTGTTGAGTCCGCATGCACTGGCGAGGAACGAAAGCTCGTTTTATTCCATTCCGGGAAATGTATATTAAACGGATAGCGCCTCGATATTGCGTCGTATGTTTTCGCGGAAGGCGTAAAATTCGATGCGAATTGAAAATTTGTAGCAGCTAATTGAAAGTCTGTCGTATTTTCTGTTCCAGGTTTTCAAGCCACTCAGGGTGAGTAAAAAGCACTTTAAGGAATTAGTCAAGGAAGCCAAAGTGATGAATTTAGAAGAAGGAGACATTTACGCTGTGGAAGATGTTAGTCCTGCAGATGAAAGATTGTCGATTTTGCTCAAAGGAAGGTAAATTCATTTAGATTTATTAAGAAACCATTGACACACCTTTGAAATATGCTCGCCGTTCGAAGGCCTAATTCAGTCACTTTCGCGAGATTTATGAGAAAATGCCGTGCGAATTTTCACCGTCGTCCAACTCGGTTTTCAGGTTGAGGGTGACTTGCGATGATACCCATTTGCATTTTATAAATATGCATCAGTTTGTCGACTCGCCCGAATGGGAGGCCAATCACGAACAATCAGACGACGTTTTCCAGGTGACAATCACCGCCGAGGAGGATAGCGTTTACCTTTGCTGGCCCAGAATGAAACTGGAGCGAGTGCTCAGGCATAGACCCAAGCTGAAGTTCGTCTTGGATTCCCTTATAGGTGAATATAAATACGAATAATTTAATTCAAATGAAAGAAGATACACAAATTACAAGGATATAATTTAATTTAGATACTTATTACACCACGTTATTAACATCGTAATTAATATGAAACTTTTATTAAAAACTTTTAAATAATTAATTACAATATCACTACTGCTCAAAGAGTCATTTCATAAATAATGTACCTACTCATCGAATAATCATACCCGTTTAAGTATCGACCCTTTTTTAATTTTTCTACATCTAAAAAGTTGTAATTTATTTATTGATGTGCTAACTAATATTAATAAATAATATTATCCTATTTTACGAATAATGTTGATGTGGCATTAGAAAGACCCTCTTTTACAGACTAGCTTACAGCCGTTGTCAGAAAAATAATGGTGATTTTAGGTAAAGATATAACGCAGAAATTGTACGCACTAAACGAGCACCTGAGTGGCGTGAACGAAAAGAGGGCAAGAGGAGAGAAAAATCGCATGTGGGCTCGAACTCACAATCGTAGCATGTCTATGGACGCTGTTAACACGGGCACTACCGGCTTGGTGCGATCTCAAGCCTACAATCAATCTCAAAATAAAAATTCCAATCGTAAGTATATTTACAAGGAATTTGAAATAAATAATGGTAGTGGGTTTCCTCGTTAAGATCGAGTCAGTAAGATGTAGAATACTGCATTTTCCCAGTCGCAAAAGGCCAAAGTTGTTTTGTTTAGTTTTGATTTATGAGGATTAAGTGAATTTTCATTGCAAGTTTTGGGCGAAACTTCGCTGTTCATGAGAAACTCCACTACCTTTAGCGTCCCTGTGATAATTCATAATTAATTATTATTCCCTTTGTGCAGGATCGTTGGGTAAATTCGAGACGCAAAACTGGGTGCCTCTAGTCGCTAAACAATTTCCCGTTAAATCTCCTTTCAACCCTCAAAGTTCGTCAACGAGCCTGAGATTGCCCGAAGTTCACACGACTCCCAGCAGAAATCGATCGCTACGCCGGTCTACGCGGGAAGTAAAATTCGAAACGAAGAGAAAGTAAGAAGGGCGCTTTTACGAAAAATAAACGAAGACTAAGATATGTTTTAGTAGTAGGTTCGAATGGTATTTTAAGGCATGATATGAGACAAAATTTTGAGATACTTTTTTTATACAAAACTTCTTAATAAGTTGACTTGCAGAATATAAAAAGTGCGTAACTTACACAGTTATTATGCCAAAGACATAATCGTTATTATATAAACATATGATAAATTTTAAATAATCAGTTTTATGCTGCGAACTGAATTAAACGTTACAATTACTATCTAGGTACCTACTTTACAGAAAATATAAGTAAGTATTGTTATTGGCTATATTTCACACCAGACGAATATTCACAAGTAGGTAAATAAAGATTCAAAAAATTACTTTTACTCTACAAAATACACATTTATCATTAAAACTAATAGTTAAATTGATCCAATTTCAATTTTTTTCCTATACTTATTACTATGTTACGAGAAAAACTGTGTATCAGTTGGTCAATTAATTATTAATGTCTACGAGTAGGTTTATACATTCAGTGTATATTTATTATTGATGTTGTAGAAATATTACGATTATAGTACAACGTAAAGTAGGTAACGAGTGAAAGGCTGTGGGTATAAGGTTTTTGAAAGCATTTCATCATTCAAACCCTTCGGATATTTTTATATTTTTAATCACTCTTTCCTCCTTTTATGATGTTACGATTTGCTTTCAAAAATCGGTCTTTAAAAATGGAAATGTAGATCTGTTGTTAATCGGTGTTGGAAAATTTGTTATTTTATTCATTAATCGAGGTGATCATAGGTTGTAGAACTGTATTCACAACACTATTTTTAGTAGTTATTACGAATTGCAAGGTGGTAAAAGTACATACTGTGTTATTATACAATATAATCAAATTTTATTACCTACTGATTTCGTTCAATTGACTGCGTATTTTTATGATAAAATGTTAAGGTACACATTATATTATGGATGTTATTAAGGAATTATAAGCTGTAAGGGCCAACTTATATTAATGTGGCCTAATTTATTGACAATTTTCACGTTGTCTAAGTTTATTTGGCATTATTTCTGTGATAGAAATTAGATAAATACGTAGGTGTAACCAGAATGTTAAGAAAATAATTATTTCTGTCGAATTAATTATTTTCAAAATATTCCAAGTACGGCATGCCTATTTGTATGATTGTACTAACATGTAATAATGTAACGGACACTGAGTAATTTGTGTAAAAAATGAGACAATTTCTGAGTAGGCAAAAGGGCAAACCAAAATTTAAAAAACACTCAGGAATATAAACAATAAAAAGATAATAAATATTATTCGACAAAGGAAGGAGGGAAGATTTTGAGTTAGGCTTGAGTTTGGAAAAAATTCACAGTGTTCGTATTGGAGATTATTGTTTTAAATTAAATGCATCATCCTAATTGTCAGATAAATCTATAATATGTATTGAGCACTACGTGATGATCATAGGCACTCTGTTAGGAATTAAGCTGAATTCCGCAAGTTTTTATATATAACAAATTATCATACTCCACAAACTTGCCTTCCACTAAATGAAAAATCTTCAAATATTAATATCTATTGTTCGTTTACTGTACATATTTATAAATATATGAATGTTAGCATTGTTTATATGTGTATATACCTATATTTGTATGTTTATATTCGTCGTGTTTATATGCAACTATATGTATAAAATAAAGTTTATAGAAAAAAAAAACGTACTTTATTTTAAAAGAATATGTGTAATATACCATTAAAATAATTTGTTACTAAAAAAATTACATACGTGCAAAAAAATCCCTTAATTAGTAATAAGGCACTCCCTCCATTTTTTGAGTTTTTTTTTAATTAATTAACATTATTATCTTTTAACACGCACTCGTTTTCACGACAAACGTAATTGTTATTATTACTGTAATCAAAAAATCGATCAAATTTTGTCAAATAAATAGAAGAAAATTCCAACGATAATTTCACGAATTAAACCAATTTGTGTCTTTTATTTTCGTACTATTCAAAAAAAAATAGTATAGGAAAATTATGAAGAAAATAAAATACAAATAGTATAAGTATAATTTATTGTTAAGACTGTACAAAAATTAGATTATTTAGTTAAAAGTGCCTATCAAAATAACATACCTAATATAATAAATATACAAAAAGTTACAAATTCGTCGTATAGACAAAGTATTATAATTGTTTAGGCCACGTATACATTGTTTCGTTACAATATCCCTACCGAAGTGTATAATTCTATAAAAAAGTTTATTGGATGTAGATGGCATTTTATTAAGCGGTTTTATGTACACCTTGTAAAATAGTATAAAAATCCATACACGAAAACTATCAACACAAATCAGCGAGCTAATACTAAATTTTACATACCTGCTACTCCTCTACTCCAATTTTACTGCATTGCTTTACATCAACCCCCCTGCAAAGTACCTTTTACTCTGCTCAATTCTACCCAACATCAACAAACAATAAGTAAAACATGGCGAATTACTATAATCTACGTTAGCACATAAGATATCACTTATTACAAACTTTAATTAAAAAGTATGCACAAGTCAAACGAGACCGAAGTCGGTGTGAACGACGCCGACGCCGACGTCGCAATTGTTCTGCTTCTCTAGATTAGCGGCCATGTTGAGCTCGACCAAGGTGTCGACGCTGTTGATGCTGACGCCCTTCAGGATCTTCTGGGCGGCCAGGCTGGTGAAGTTGAAGCTGAGGTCGCTCAGGCTGGGGAATTGCTGGTTGCTGTTCTCTCTGGTCAGCGTTCTCTCCTTGTAGCAGATGTTCGGCTCGGAGCCCATGATGTTCTTGTCGAGGGCCTTGCCGTTTTCGAGGCACTGGAAGGATTTCTCCAACGACGACTTGGATCCCACGTCGTTTTTCTGGTACTTCATAGATGAGAACATCGGTATGCCTTCGTAGCTTTTGGTTGGACTGGGAGGAGTGCTGGTGAATATCGAGTTCTTCGAGAAATCCCTGAAGGTATTCGCTATTGGCGAGTCTGGATTCGAGTTGGAGTTCACTTGGTTCTTTATGACATTATGGTAGTTTAAACTCTCCTTAGGAGAAAGCTGTAGGGATAATTTCCGAATGTTGTTCATCGCCTCCGGTTTTTGTTCGTTGTTTACAGTATCGACGTTTACAGTATTCGAGTTATTTAAATTATGCTGGTTAGTATTTTTTGTAGGCTTATTCTCGCACTTATCTTTCGAAACTGGTACATCTTCTTTTTCGTTATTGATAATTACAACGTTAGGATTCTTCTCCATTTGCCCGTTTTCCAGCGTAATTATCGATCGAACCGGCGAATTTTGCACGAATATTTTCGTATTAGATCCCGGACTGCCGTTGAAAGTCGTCCCACTTTGATTCGTTGTCACTTGCAGAGTAAAAGAATTGCTATGCGGCACGGAAGTCTTCGCAGGACTCGATATAATCGTCGTTTTAGGACTTCCTTTGGGCTTGCTGCTCTCCTTCCGGTGTTTCCTTGAACTCCTTGGATCGACTTTCGGGGAATCCAGCAAACTGCGATTGATCACCGTTTTATGCGATTCCAGACTAGACGGGCCGCTAGTCAACGAACTTCCCGTTTTGCTGCTCTTGTGCGATTCTATGCTGCTCGGTCCGCTGTTGTCTATGCTGGATAGGTTCTTCACGGGAGAATCGGTAACGGAACTCGAATTGTCTTCGATGCTTAAATTAGTTGTCGATCTATGACTAGCTGTGGTGGATTCCAATGAAGGGGTACATAGCCTTTCGCTGATGGAGTTTTGTTCGGCGAATTCTTGGGACTTTTCGCCCTTGTCTTCTTGGCTGGTCTGCGGCTTCGTCAAGCTGCTCCTGCTCGCCTTTCTGGAGCAATCCCTATTTCTATAGGCGTGCTTCCTGGGTAATGTACTGGAAGCGTACGCGTTGACGTAATTGGGGATAGGTGAATTATCGCGAGATCCGGTCGTGGGTGTTCCGGTTGTCAAATCAGTCGATAATTGCCTTCGGTGATTTCTTGGTAAGGTGGCCGATCTCGAAGTGTTTAAAGTGCAAGTTTCCAAATAAGCTGCTACGTCAAATCCGTTTTCCTGTAACAAAAATAATTTAAAATTAGTAATTTGTGCTTGGGGGATTTTTAAGATATCTTCGAGATTTTAAAGGCTATTAAATAGTACCTTATTTCCTGCGATTGTTTGCGTTCCAACGCTATGCAAGTGCACGGCTTTCGAATTGAACCATTCAGAGGGCGGGAATTGAGCACCGAAAGTACCTATTTGACACTGGGAACGTTTAGACCTCCTGAATAACCTCGACAACAAAGAAGCCTTTTCTAAAAAAATGCAACAAATTATTAGATAAAATTTAAACAATAGATATAAAAAATATGACTTACTTGGTGTTGGTGTAGATTCACCGCTGTTGGGGTACTCGGTACTACTGCTGGTGTCGACATAGTGCTTAGCCAAGGTTCGCGTTGAAGCTGATCTTCGAAGTCTTCTGGTCGAATTCCACAATCGGAACGAGCCTCTTCGATCGGGGCTCCTTGGAGAGGGAAACGACGACGATCTCCTCTTACTCCTGGCATAAAGAACTTTGTCGCTAGAATTTCCTGCAATCAAAAATATGTATACAAAACTCTTCCGCATTTATCGTCGAATCGAATTATACCTCCGCAAATGACATCTGCTAGATTAGTTTGTATGCACTGGTGAGTAATGTTGCCGTCTCTAATAGTAGCCATATCGCCGTGAACCATAGCAACTGCTTCCTCCGTCGACATAAGCATGGTCCTGTTACTCAAAGGATCCATTCCGTTATCATCTTTCTTGCGTCCTCTAGATTGGCTTCTCGACCGTCTTCGTCTGAAACAGCCGTAAAATTACTCAATCGGAACATCTCATTACAACACCGAGTTCGTTCTTACTCGGGAGTGACGATGAAATAACCGCTAGACGTGTTGTAAAGCTTCTTCTCTTTAGTCAGTTGTACCAGGGTGTCGTAAAGGGTCGGCTCGCTCGGCGGAGATACATGCGGGAACGCCAAAATCAGCGATTCTCGGATGGTTTCGATACCGGCCGGCCTACCCTGGCTCGAAAGCCTCAACACCACCGAGCACACGGCCTCCGGTAGGGGCGTCCATTGGGTTTGTGGCACTGGAATCGTGGTAGATTGCTCGATGTCCTCTGAAAATTCCAAGTAGTTCAGTGAGAAAGGTCTGAGGTGATTAACAAGAATTCAATTACGAATGTTAATGTACCTAAAGCTACTATTTGGTATCCCGGAGGAGGCTGGAGCACCCTTCGGGACCAGGCGTTCCTCAGGATTTCCAAAGCGCAGGGCTCGGCAGCTACGAGCAGCGCGCCGGGACTCACGTAACCGTAGTACACCAAATTTTTAGTCGCTCCATTTAAACCGTTGTTCCACCAGCAAATGGAATTCGAAGATATTAATCCCTGAAACAGAAACATTTTATAATATATCAGTTGACAAAAAAAATTAAGAGTTATTAATAAGTTATAATATAAATTAACTTTATTGGTAACTGTGATTTGTAGCTCGAGGAATAGGCAGGAACTTCAAAAAGTAACGTATCAACAAAATAATAATATTGCTAAGTTCTCATGGAAGAAAGCGTCAATTATTCAAATACCTGTATAGTTGTAGGTGTAAATATTGCATGAAAGAACTAATAATGGTCCAATTTGAAATGCAAATAGCAGGAAATTGTGCGGAAACTAATTAAAAGATAATTGAATGTAAATGATTATTTTGCAAAAAAATGTTTTATTTGCTTCTACTCGTGTGTTTTAATTGTTGGCGGAACTTCCGTTAATTGTCCTCTCACCTTTTGCCTTCACCTTTGTCTGAGTAAATTGTAGTTTTTGCGGTCTATTGAAACGTCTCTTGCACGATTTTCTGTGCGATATCTAATTTTACCTAAACTTTTCCTCGTTCGAATTGCCGACGATTACAAAAATGACGAGTTCAATTTAATTAATAAAAATTATATTGGCATTTTCTTGAGTTTCTCCGACAGTCTATTAATATTGTGCAAGTCGATTCGTTTTCACTGCAACAATACAGTTTAATTTTTAAAAAGCGCATCTAATGGTGATGCAATGAGTTAAATTCGAACCTCTAACCTTTCGGATCTTAAATACTACAATACCCTCCCTTCGGTGTTTTCGCATAAAAATCCCATTACATAATTTTACGAAAATGAAAATGCAACGGTCGCATTCCCAATTATAAACGGCAAGCAATTCTTTTTCGTCACAATAATAGCGGCCTGCGAAAAATTAAATCGCAATTTGCATGGACGCTCCGTCGAAATAACTGTTCTTATCTTATTATCCGAACCGCTAAAGTAGCAGGTACGTAATGATTTAACCATTATCGATTCGCATTACGGACGTCCACGTGAGATCCTAAAAATGCGGGAAATCATTTGCATAAATACCGGTTCATTTGCATAGCCGCTGAGTGTATCATTTTAATCTGAGCTCATAAAAACCATAAATATTTCGAGTTGCGTGGGTTTTGAAACCGACCGCGTCCGACGATTCGAATTTAATGCCCAAGACCGACCTTAACACCAGTCCGCAATTTAGAATGCGCTCGGCTTCGACGATTAGCGAAGTTGCTCTGAATTATCTGGTTAGTTAGTTACTCGAGGGTTGGTCTCGTTCTGAATGCAAACAGCGATACTATCGGTGATAAAATAGGTTTGAATTAACTAATCAATTACCAATTCGAGTTGTTAGGTTCTAAGTCAGCTCGAGGTGACTGGGAATGCAAGCTTTGTTGATTGGATTTATTTGCCGTAGCAAAAGATATACTAAAATATCTTTGCTATCCCTTCTTTTATGCAGAAACCCTGTATAATATACACCATTAAAATTAATTCGATCTGTAATATATTTTCATGTTCAGATAGGTCATGTCGTATTTCAACACAGCATGAACCTTTAATTTCTCCATTGACGGGTTCGCCGTTGAAAATTTCACGATTCTTACATAATATGAAATAAATACGTGTGTTAATAGTCGATGTCGGTGATAAAAGAAATAACTTTATTATTCGCATTAGTCTGATATTTCGTTTGTAGCTAATCGGTTATGAATTTAAAACGAATTACTAAATCAGCCATGAGAAAGCCAAGCTTTTTTGGTTTTTTTCTAATAACATAGATGCAAGTTGCAAGATAGTTGGAATTATTCGCATTTCTCCCAAAACAAAACCCATATCTTCAATAATAACTCTTCTGCATCGATTTATCTAGGCCAAGAACCAAGAACTAATGATACACTAGGTATATCGGACATTTATATATCCGATCTCGACGACCTCTAGTCTGATAATGATTTATGAAATGAATTACATCTCTAAATATGGACGTAATTTATGAAGATAGTTTTATAACATGCTTTGGCACGGCCTTGCTTGTAAGCTAAAAAAAATACATTTCTCTTTTCTTTTTATCCAACGATAGCTGCGTGCAGATCAAAGAAAAATAAGTTATAAATGACCGTAATGATTGATGATATGATTATTAAACGATTTTTATTTGTAACAAAAGCATGTATATTCATCAAAATGTATCCCTCTTCTATCCCTCATTATCAAAGATTAAAATAAATCAGCTCGTGCAACTGGAGAGATATTCGAAGATAGCAAAGTCGGGCGAGATGATTCGAACTGTGAATTGTTAAGCAGATAATACCAGATATTTGCAAATACTTTTGCGTACAGCGAAAATTTAAAAATAATAATCTAGAAATAATTAGGGAAAGTTCTGCGGCTTCCTCAATAAATGCGCGTTACAACTGAAATAACCTTTCGGGTATCGTGCTCAGATTTACCAACATCACGTTTCAGTTATTTCAGTATTTTCCAAATGACATAATGACGGACGATATTGACACGGCTGTAAGGCAAAAGTGCAAACTCGCTATTAGAATTATTCTTTTTAATGAAGATTTAAATTGTTCGTGATATATTAAACAACGTGAGATTAAATTATTATGAAATCTCCTTAGCGCGGCCGCTCGTTATTTAACATGTGTATGAAAGTGACTTGTTGAAATTCATCAGTAACTGGATTTTTGTGCAACAGTTCTAGCTTGTTGGAGATCTTTATCGAAATATTCGGGACCCACGTTTTGTTTGTACACAGAACTACTATTTAAATAAGACAAATAAGTAGGCAATTCGTCTAAATAAATAAATATTTTGTAATGGTTCGGTTGGAGATAAGATTTGCAGAGGAATTTTAGTTCGAGGCTGGAGAGCGTTTGCTTTAATATGACTGCAGGCTATGTTGATTTAATTGAATTATCCGTGGAAAAGAAAATAGGTTGAATTGTGGTTTAATATTTTTCCGATATTGAAGGTAGAAAGCGCCAAATGGTAGAAAACTTCTTTGTAATACATACGTATATAAATTTATTTTAGTACAAGTACTTATTTATGAGTTTTTACCAGTGAAATGAAACCATAATACTAAAATTGAACTAAATTAATATTTAACCATAGACAATAAAAATTGACGTTTATATTAGACTATTAATTAGACCGTTATTGTTATAGCCTATTTGCCGTTATTAGATAATAAAATTTGTTTGAGACTATGTAAAAATGAAAATTTATCTTGAGAACAGAAAGCTCTGATTCATCAACTAAGGTAATTCGACCGCCTACGAAGTTATTTTCTTCTCATAGCAGATCTAGTCTAAAATCAACCTACAAAATATTAACACTTTCACCACTCTTTGATTTGCAGATATTAATTTTCTTTATTAATTTTAATTGCCCTCTAGAATGGTATTGTAGGCAGATTATTTGTCCATTTATATTTTTAATTATGCCAAAATCACTGTTACAAATCGATTCCCAATCAACACCATGTTGAGTCACTATAGAAAAGTCATCGGATTTTACAACGATATATCGACTACTGTTCATTCTGCTCTGCGTCCCAATTAAGATCTCTATCGAATTTCAATCAAGATCCGCTTACCTGTACAACAGTTAAAAGCCTTTATATCAATTCAAATATTACGTCATTATCTTCCAGTCCAGCGCACCTGCTTTTGTTAACTGGTGCAATATACTTGTCGTAAATAATACGCAAAGGGAATTCCATAGCACTATATTAACTGCAAATTGCTTTTAACAACATTCCAACCCACGCTACCTCTCGCGAGATTATTTTTAACTCTTTTACATTATCCCACCCATTTCTGAATAATTTAACGACAGCGAATGGATTGGTGAATTGATTAGAGTTAAATGTAGGTACCTGGAATATGAGATATCCATTTTCGTACATCCAGAATTCGCCGGGATCCGCTCTACAGCCCTCTTTTCTCACCAAAATGGCCAGCACGTGGTTCAGTCTGACGCGGCAATTGAAATCGCCATCCCCGCTTCGATTGGTGTTCATCTTCAGGTTACCATCCTGTAACAGAAGGTGGAAATTAGCCTGTGGGTTTAGAGAAAATGTCTCCGTAAACAATGGACTTTATTATTTGGGATTAGAAACACCTCGTTCGGCACCGAGAGCTGCAAATTGAAACGTGGTTTCGAGCGTTTACGCCGTTTACTCCGTAACAATTTGCGCTATTACGGTGTTTTTATTTAATAGTTTCGAAAAGGTGTGTGTATGCTTAAATCGCTGTATGATTTGGGTTAATAACCTACTTGTAAAATAACTTTTGAGTCACCAAGATGAACATAAAAGGACTGCTATTGTGAACTTACTAATATTCAATGAAATGGCCAAAATATTTATATTAAAACTATCAATCAAATGACTAAGGTAATATTCTGCTAATTAGGTTAAACAATATATCACCTTCGACTACCAAAAATTCCGAAATCTACAAGATAAACCGCAAGCCTTATAAGTTTTATTATTGATGCAAACTATTTGTTTTGAAGGATTCACCTTTGAGGTGTCGTTCGAAAGTCAAGATCGAATGTAGAAATTTCGCTGTGAGCCATAAACATACGTACGAAAACCGTCTCGGTCATTTCAATGTTCATTTCAAAATCCGCCCGGAGGAGAGTACCTAATGTCCGGAAATCGAATTAGCGGTTGCATGTGCGCGAAATGATAGAAGAATCGTTTCGTCGGAACGAATTTATCGGTATCGAAGGCGATTTAGGCTTTAATTAGTAGTTTGTATGTAAATTAATGTTCTTGATTCCTTTAAGAGACGCCAACGAACCGGCATGTTTGAAGTTCGTTCCGCTCACTGTATTTGATCAGGAATGATACCTAATGAGCCGAAATTGGATTGAGCATTAAATTTTATCGTAACTGGTAGGTGCTTAACAAGCGTTATTATCGAAAAATAATTGATATTAGATGAGATAGATTATGTTAAAAAATTACTTTTTAAACAACACGAATTTTTACTATAATAAATTTGATACGAAAATTAACTGCATGCCCGTAGCAAAGAATGTGTTGTGTGTATATGAGAAATTCACTTCCTCAATAATAAATATATATTTGATAATTTGATAACGATTTATATAAATTTTGAATTATTACCTCGTTTTGACCTTACCAAAGGTTAACCCAGCTTTCCAATTTCCGACTTATTGTTCAATAAAAATTAATTGGAATCTGGAGATTGGCTTAGATGTCAAATTAATTGATTGGAATATATAAATAAATCACTCTAGATCTGATATATTTATTGTATTTTTATAACCGTTTTCAATCTTGTGGTCACGTTATGTAAAATGCCGAATTGATTATCTTGTGCCAGCGAAAGTGTGAGAATTTCAATCTTTTGCCGGACATTTACGCGACATTCATCCAATATATTATAAAAATTGTTACGTGCGCGATGTAAATCTCGGTAGAAAACCAAACAATACAAGAGATCTATTCTTAAGTAGGTATTTATAGATTTAAATTACGACTTTTTACATGGGAATCCGACATAAGTGTTATACAGGAAATTACATTTTTTGCTGCAAAAAGTATTAATTTACAAGCAAGCCATTACGCAACATTGTGAATATCACAATCAATTTTAACGAGTTATTTTTTATCAATCGCCCCCGACGTTCATTAAAATCATATCCGAGAAAGTAAAATTCGTATCAACCAACAGTCATTTCCTTCCTATTCTTCTTAACAAACCGACGAAGCCAGTAAGCGCTCTCCTATATCGATCTAAATCGAAAGGTATTTTACAACAATAGATTTTTTTAGGCTTTAATTTTTATTGAAAGGCGAATTACCTTGTTGCGAAATGTGACTTTTAACTGACAATAAAAATGTCAAATCATTATATTATGGAAATTATCTGATATAATAGCCGGGCATTGTGTTTCTGTTTAACATATTTTAAAATAAATTTGAATGCGGTTTTTACGTTTCCTATCATTTTCCTTATTTGCATTAAAGTTTAATCTAGATTACGCGTGGGCGGTGTAATGGCGGAGTTCACATCAGATATGCCTTCGTAAAGTCACAGAAATTCTGTCATTAACTGCTTTTATATCACCGAGGCGTTTCATTAGATTTTTAAAGCGCTTATCTTGATATACGCATAACGAATGAAGCTTTAATTAAGCCGGAGCAAAAATACTTAATACTTAAAATCTGCATAATTAATAAATAAATAAGTAAGAACCTACATCATTAGAAGGTCAAAAAGTTGTGCTTTCTAAAAATAATTCTAGACCATGTAAGTTAACGACTTCAAACACCGTAAATACAATTTTCTTTTGCAATCCTCCGACCGCAAGGATGTGTTTATTAGTTAAAAAATCGAAATTCTTCCAATTAATATTAAATACTACGTACACTCACGTTATTCTAATTGGGTACTATTCGCAGTCTGCCCGATCGACGGAATTATCGAGAAGTATTTGCAAGCCTTTAATTAATTACCGGAGAACGAGCGAAATCATTAAGTAAAACACGTTTAACGTCGATATATGATTTAGTACATTGCAAATGTCTGAGCGTTGAAAAAGCTTCAAACTTTAATAATGTTCATTTATTAAATACATAGAGAAAAGCTAAATACCTGTAATTATCAATTGGTTTACTTGTGCAGTTAATACTTTTATCACTGTTGGCTATATTAGTTATAATTAATTATTGGTAAACTGCAATTAAGCGTGTGTCTGTAGGTATAATATGGAGTGAATTGAAATATTAGTTATTGTAGATTTTATAACAAGATAAAGTACAAAGCATAAACTTTCAAATCTATCAATTCTTTACTATAAATAGCAGAATTTTGAAAAATAAAGTATATTATTGAAATAACTTGCAAAATTCAAACAAGGAAAATACTAAATATTTTTCAAGTTAAAGACAAACACACAACGACCTTTCGTATAAATACGAAATAGTGAAATCTTTAATCATTGCAAGTCAATCAATCAATTCTACTATTGTAATTGAAATAACTCTTTATCATCTCGATGACCAATTAATAATCTGTCTAGCCATGAACGGATCTTTATCGATTCTCTGTCAGAGAAATTACTGAAGCAGTGAATTCCGCTATACAAACTTTAATGCTAGTTTAGCAGAAAAATGTAGAATTTAAATTGACACAAGATAAAACTCTTGAATAGAAACATGGATATATTTCATGCAAAAATGCTGGAATTGTTGCGTGAAGGTAGCTCGCATGACCCCAGTTTTATCTATAACCATATCCCTTCAACAGGTGAAAAGCAATCGTACCGTGAAGGTCATGGTTACAAAATTCCGAAAGGAAACCCACTCAACTGAATTGGAACACTTTTGTTCAAACTGTGACTGAGATTTGAATGAAAACAATTCCGTCTATTGTTCGACAGATGACAAGAAAATTAGCATCCCATTATTCGAATATTATAAACGGTTTCAGTTATTAGCAACAATAAACCCTGTAATAACTGTTAATTGATTCGTCCAAATCTACTTATTAGAAAAAAAAAACTATAAGAAACTAAGAGTTTGTACAAAAAAGGTGCCGGTAGTATTGCAACAACATTATTTTCCTTCGATACAGACATCAATTTGACAAGATGTTTTTATTTATAATAATGTTGCAATGGATCTGATTAGTTCATTGCACCAGAAAGACAAGAAGTAATGTGTGCAATGGACAATTTCACTTCGATAAATATCGAAAGTACCTCACCGCTAATTGCGCCGTTTTTGATGTAAAGAATTTTTATGAAGAGCTTGTTACAAAAAAAAACAACTTACTTTCCGGAAAACGTAATTACTATAATCATTTAAGCAATTTGTCACCGCGAGTTTGTTTTGGACGAAATAAAAGCGGTTATCAGATCTTCAAAGTTGGCAAATACACACCGGTGTAATTTGGTTACAGACTTCCTACTTTCTTCGAATTAACTTTAAAAAAATTCACCGCCTAAATGTTGCATGTAGGACATCAGATATGCTTGTACATACAAACTAACCTGATGGTAATGTCACTTGAATTACTCGATAGATAATTATACAGGGAAATTTCTAATTGTTTTATTATCCTGCGGAGGGCTAGACCTTCGATATACCATATGCGATTTGTGATTGATTTTCACTTTTAACGAGTAACTCGTTTAGAGCGAAAGTAAACTTTATAAATTTATGATGCGGTCGAAGACATAAAGATCCTCTCCGCATCGACAAGATAATTAGTTATTTTTCATTAAAGAAATCTTAGGGGGAAAGGATAAAAAATCTAGATTGGAAAACATAATTGCCCATGTTACTCTCACATATCCTAATGTGTATTACCATGAATAGGTACCATCAATACCAATGCAATCATTTTATCAGTATTTCCTTACACAACTTGAGAAATAATCCACGATAGAAATTTAATTTTTTTACTTTAATATTTAGAGAAAATCTTCTAATAATTGTAGCCCTGTATAAAGTAGTAATTACATAACGCACAGATACGTAAAATTCGATATTTTACCGCATTTGCGATGTTATTGTGTGTAACGATCAACAGGTAATAAAAAAGCGGTTAGGCATTTACTCAAACGTAACAGCATTAAATCCAATGGTCAATGACAAATGGTGAGGAAAATATTTCATTTAAACCGACAGGAACTTTATATTCTTGCATATTTATTGATTATCAAGTCTTTTTACGGACCAGCGGTCAGGTGAATAGGAAATAGGAAAAGCTGCCGCATTAAATTATGTTAAATTATGTTTATTATTGTTATTATAGTGTCTGGTTTTTGTGATAATTTTATAATGATTTCTATTAACAGTTTAGGCGAAATTAGTAAGTAATATACAGGGAGGAGGAATAGCTGGAAGACATTTTTATTTTTTTTTTATTTTAGTGAGAATACGTGGGGTTTAAAAAAGAGGGCGACTCTTCTACTAAGTAGTACCTAATTTTAATACATAATAATAACTAGACTTCTAAACTACTAAAAGTTTTTTAT